CTGCTCCCCTGGGTTTGTGTGTTGGCTCCTCTTATTTCCCAGCCGTGTGAAAACCTTGGGCAAATTCCAGCAGATCTCTGAGCCATGGTTTCTTCAGCTGTAGAGGTGATAATGCTACCTGTCTCATTAGGTTGCTGTGTGATTTCACTGATGCTTCACTAGGACCTGCGACTTACAGGTGTTCAGTTGATTCAGAAGTGTAAAGAGGAGGGTAGACCTTGGAAAATGGGCAGTTAAAGTTATATTAAAGAGGTGACATGGACAGTTTTATGAAAGTAGAGCTCGGAATTGAGTCAGGCTACAAATGCTTTTTTACAGCTATCCGTTCTCAAGGCTGGGGGTGGTGGACAGGGACCCACCAACACCTGCAGGGGTCTGAATGCTAGCTCTTTCTTCTGATCTTAATAGATGGCGTCTAGAAGGAATGTCCAGGCTGCCTCTGGTGACATGGCATGTGGTAGGCTTGGGTCCAAGGCATGAGCTTGAACCCTACTTGCTGCAGAGTGAGGAAGGAAAGTGTAACCAACTGGATGGAGATCCACAGTGTCTCTTGACCACCCTGAATCCTGTACAAGTTTCAGTCTGGGATTTGCTTTGAAGAAGCAACTCCCCAAGAGGGCACAATCTTCTCAGCGTCTCAGTTTAACTTTAGTTGGAACATGCCTGTTTTCTCATGAACCAAAGAGTAGGAGCTTAGAGGTAACCCTTTGGTTCTGAGAAGGGCAGCAGACCTGCCTGTTTGCCTTGAATTGTTGCAGAGGAATAAACAGGGCATAGTCATTAATTAATTCTATTTATTCATTCCTTTTTCCAAAGCACCTCCTATGAACTAGTTCCTGAGCCTGGTCCTAAGGATACAAATACAACTAATAAAACCAGAACTCATTTTATTGAGCAACTGCTGTGTGTCATGTCACATCAGCTCATGAAGCCACAGGAACTTAACATCCCTCTTTACAGAGAGGACTACCCTGGTTTCACACCTCTAAGTGGTATAGGTAGGTCCTGAGGCAGAAGTCTTCCTACTGTGTTGTATGGCCAGTGAGGAACCTAGGTTTGAGCTGGAGGAGTAGGAAGTAAGGCAGGTGTGTTGCAGGATGAAGACCTTTGTAAGGACTTCATCCTAAGATACAAAAGTCATCCTTTGAGTTCCAGGCAAAGAAATCCTGTGAACCGGCTTAGCTTTTTGCTCTGTCTTGTTTTAGAGTGGTAAAGTCCACATAACATAAAATATACCACATTAATCATTTTTTTAAAATGTTTATTTTTTTTTATAGAGGCATGTTTTATTTATTTATTTATTTGTTTGTTTGTTTGTTTTGTTTATACAAGCACTGGGTATAGTCAGAAGCGCGGGAGGGTGAGAGAATTCACCAGAGCCAGAGCGGGGAGCAGAGCAGGCAGAAGGACCGAAGTACACTGCTGAAGGGAGCAACGGGCGGCAGGAGAGGTCTGCGCGCCATGCGGGACCCTCCTCCGGTGGCCGGGGAGCAGCCGGGGATCGAACCGGCGCCGCAGAGGCCGCGGGCAGCCTCGCAACCCAGCGCTCAACCGCTGCGCCACTGGGGAGGCCCACATTAATCATTTTTTTAAGTGTCCAGTGCAGCAGTATTAAATATACTTGTGTTGTGCAACCTATCTCTAGAGCTTTTTCTGTCTTGCAAAATTAAAAACTCCAAACTCATCAAACAACTCTCCATTTCCCCGCCCCCCCCCCCCCCCCAGTCTCTGGCAGCCACCCATCTATTTTCTGTTTCAATGAGTTTAACTCTTCTCGATGCCTCTTCAAAGTGGAGTGTTGAACCATCCCAGGCCAGGTTGGTTCACTGTTGGTTCTTGTAGACAAAAAGAGAATGTTGAAGCCTTTGGTGGATTTTACAGGACTTTAATGCCGAATAGGGACAGACCGACCAGCAGGGAGAGAGCAGTCTTTCCTGTTCTATCTCCCAGTCTCATGTCACCTCGCCTCAGAGTGGTCCTCAGAGTGATGCCCCTTTATCTGTTGCCTTTTGGCACAGGTGTCCACACTTACATATGGGCATGGCCGTGCTCTCTGGACCCAGGTGTCCATAATCATAGGTGTGTGTGCCTCACCCATGCCCAGGCCTCTCCGCCCCGGGCATCCATGCAACCTAGGAGGAGTGCAGGACTGCAGGTGGAAACTGTGGAGTAAAAAAGCCTGTGCTATGTTATTTACATGGAGTAATACAGAATATGTCTTTTAGTAACTGGCTTTTCTCACGTAAATCCTTGATTCACCCCTGTGGGAGCTTCCTTTTCAAGGTTGAATAATAGCCCATTGTACATACACACCTCATGTGTTTTATCTCTTCATCTGCTGGTGAACGCTGGGGTTGCTTCACTTTTGGCTGTTGTGAATAATGCTGCTACGTGCAGGAACCTCTTTGAGATCTGCTTTTAGTCCTTTTGGGTCTACCCCCAGAGGGAGAATTGCTGGATCCTGTGGTAACAGTTCTGCTTAGTGTTTTGAGGCACCACCTGCAGCAGCTGCACCAGGGTTCCAATTTTTCCACATCCTCACCCACACCTGTTACTTGTTTTTTGATAGTGCTGTCCTGTGGGTGTGTGGTGGTATATCGTTGGCATGGCCCTGATGACTAATGTGTTGAGTATCTGTCCATGTGCTTATTGGCCAGGCCTGTATCTTCTTTGGAGGAACATGTCTTCAAGTCCTTTGCCTGCTTTTTAATTGGATGGTTTGCTTTTCTTGTGCTTGAGTTGTAGGAGCTCTTCATATATTCTGGACATTATACTCTTATCAGACAGGTGGTTTGCAGATGTTTCTTCTCAGTGTGTGGAATGTCTTACCACCACTTCTGGCTGCTGGGCTGGGAATGGACCGTACATTGGCAAGGACAGAAGTCTAGTTAGTAGTTTACTGAGCTGATCCCTTAACATTTGCAAACTACAAAATTAAGAATCACGGTTTGATGTACCCCAGCTGTAGTCTCCAGATCCTGGGGCACCTCTGTCACTCTCTGTTGTGTCTGTCTTGCATGTCTCTCACCTGGATCGCTGTGCATTGCTTCCCCTGATGGGGTCCTGCTGGTGTCCCAGCTCCATCAGCCCCTCCCCGGAGCGTCAGCCAGCGCTCTGGACCTATCCCAGCAACCTCTTCTGGCAGAGTTCAGCCCTGCTTGCCTCTGGCTCAGGCACATTTCACCATCCTGCTGCCTCACCCTCTCTCCCACACACTCTTGTTTCTCATCTCCACGGCTCTCTCTTCTGTAAGTGGGGAACTTTATCCAGCGTGTGAAAGAGACAGTATCCTTCCTTCACTGTGGCCCTGCGCTGAGCAGGGGCCAGAATGTGTTTGATTCAATGAATAAATAGACTGACAAGAAAGGAGAGAGGAAGAAGTTGAAAGAAGACAGCGGAGGAGGTGGGGGAGAAGAGGCCAAGGTAACAGGAGAAGTGTCGGGGCGCACAGCTGTCCCACGACCCTCCCTGTGTCCCTCTTTGTGTGACTTGGGGCCAGTGGCGCCCCCCCCCCCTTTTTTTTTTCAGACCCTCTGGCTGGCTCCCTGCATTCAGAGTTCCTGGATAAGACTCAACTCTTTTGCCTTTATTTCTTGTTCTTTTTTCCCATACTTTACATAATAAAAGTTTTCTTTTTTCCTTTTTCTTTGGGAGTCAGAAAACTGAAGAGACTATTAGGAACTCAGTAAAGATCTCAAAGGAAGTAGCTGTGGGAGGGGGGAGGGTCGGCTGGGAGGGATCAGGAGGGGAAAGTGGTCTTTCATTCTGGGGAGATTTTGCCGTGTGCAATTGTGCCCTGGTAAATGAATTTTTGGGTTCAGGGCCTGGGAGACTTGTTAAAAAGAAAAACAAAAAATAACAAAGGAGTCCATGAGAAACCCCAGAGCTTCTGGGAAAGGCCCTTGTTTATGGCCGTTGGAACTGATTTGGTCAAGTGTTTGTTTAAAAGAGATGCCACTCGGTGAGTGACGCCTGGCTTACTTGTGTTGTGTTCAAGAATGCTTTGATTGGCCAGAGACCCTGCCACTGTTTACTCAGAAACTGGCCCGAGTACGTGCCTGGAACCCAGAGACCCACCTCTTCCATTCAACACATTCTTAAGTATCTGAATATCGGGACTATGGATGTGGCAGTCGAATCGTCCAGGCAGAGCCAAGTCCCTAATGGGGCTGTTCCTTCCAACGTTAGTTAGCATTTATTTGCTACCTGTCCTGATTAGCAGATATTGGCTGCTCCATTAGGCTCTGAATTTGGCAGAAAGAGGATTGACAGTACCAATAGGTCATGGTGGTGACATACTTTTCTTGGAGGGCAAACACTCATCACTTTTGTTAACATTTGCCAGATGGTCACATCCCAACACACATTCCCATTTTCCAGATGAGAAACCGAGAAATAAAGTTTTCAAGGGACCTAGTCAGGAGGTTTGTGGGATCCAGTTAGACCTGGCAGCCAAGTGCCTGTTTTCTATACTTGGTGACAGGATTTGGCTTTCTCTTCTTGTTTTTAAATCCCTCCTGCCTGTCTCATGCCTGGTACAGGGAAGGACCCAGAGAATGCTAGGTGTGGAAGGATGTGTTAAATGGGATTAATCTGGTCTCAAGCCTGCAGCCTTGTTGGTGGTGGGGTGGGACTAGGTTCCGAAGATTGCAAATCAAAATTGTTTTAGGAGCTGGCTCGATTCACCCCACGTCTGTTCTGAAAGTCATCCCTGAGAGTCCCTGCACCATCTGCTTCACCACCCCTGTGTTCTTGCCTTCAGGGAGAGCAGTCAGGCTTAGAACTTGCCACAGACACAGAATTTGATATTGTTTCTAGCACCTGGCCAGCAGGTAATAAGTGACAGAAAGACGTATGGGAAATCTCATTCTAAGAGTGTCACTGCGTTTGTAGTTTTCTGAAAGCGCAAAATAGCTAAGGGGAAAGTGTCTAAAAGAAGTAGCAGAGAAAATCTGTTTCTTTGCTAAAAGTCACGTTGAAGTCACTTCTCTCTGTTTTAGGCAACACAATAAGATTCGCAGCGTGGAGCGGAGTCAGCTGGAGGCTTACCTGTCCTTAGAAGTACTGGACCTGAGTTCCAACAACATCACGGAGATCCGGAGCACCTGCTTTCCCCACGGACTGCCCATCAAGGAGCTGTAAGTGCAGCAGGTCTGGCTGCAGGGGCTTGGGCGAGTCTGCAGGAAGGGGTCCTTCCACTTCTCGCAGAGGGCAGCCAACCCATTGTCTTCCATTTGCCTGTTTATAAACTATTCCCCAACCTCGTGGTGTCATTCTGACTCTACAGACGGGTGAGGAAGCTGGGGCAGGGAGAGGTGAAGTGGCCTGAAAGCTCACCCCCTGAGATGAAGTTCTCACCCTCAAATCCAGGTCTATTGTGGCAACAAAGCCTGCTTGCTTTCTCATTCACTGGCTGCCTCCCAGGAAAGCCGAGAGAGAAGACTTCGGGGTGGACACAGGAAGGACACTGCGGGGAAGCCTCTCTGATGAGACTTCATCTGTCAGAGCTACCCTGCTAGCATCATGCACTATTTAAACACACTGTTCAGTTTATTTATTCTGTGGGTTCTAGGGCCCTTCTAGATTGCTACATCGGTTTGTTCCTCTACCACCCATCTTAATGCTCCATTTCACACTCAGTGGATGGTAGACAGGAGGAAAACAGTTAGAACCTATTTAACTCACTGCCTATTGCTAGGAAAATGCCGCTTTGGGGAAGAAACTGAAAATTAATTCAGGGTTAAAGAGGCTTTTTTCAAATGTCGTGAGTTTTCATTCCCATCATTTTTAATGTTCCTGAGTAATTTTAGAGACGATTTTTGAGGCTGGTTTAAGGGTCATTGTGACCCATCTTTTTAGGGAGGGATTGGCACACAGATTTTTCAGGGCCCCCTTAGGAGAACAGTGGTCTCTTAGGCTGCGTCAAGCCACCAGTTGGAAACAGAAGGCCTGGGTGTTTGTTAGTGAGCATGGCGGCACATGCAGACTGCGAGATTTTCAGGAAGGAGGTGCCGGCTGTCACGCTGCACTTCCTTGCTTGGGACAAAGAGATCACCAACTGCTAACTGAGTTGCAGTGACCTTCTCTCTCTGCATGAAAGCCACAGTGACTTTCTGTTTGGCAGACACTGGCCAGTTTATCTTCATCACACACACTGTTCTTCTTTAATCTGGAGTGTTAAGAACAAACAGTCCAGCCCCATTTTTAAAGCATCCTCATGTGCCCTGTCCTGGGCTGCTGCCTGAGGGAGTGATCAACATGCCTTATTCCCAGCCCCTCTCTCTTGTGGAATTTTCTCATCTTTCTCCTTTTTTGCTTAAGCTACAAAATGGAGCATTTGTCCCAGAAGGTAGAAAGATAGGTGTTGGGGTAACACCACATGGCCCCTCCCTTTTTCTCTTTTCCATCTCTGTTACTTGGCATCACGCAGACCCAGACCTTAGCTGCACACGGCGGTGGGTTTCGAGGGAAGGCACCCCTTCCACACGCGAGCCTGTCTACAGAGGTACCTTTGAGGTATTGCTTGTTTTCTAAAGGGACTCCCTGCAGGTCTCTTGCAACTAATGTTTTCTTTGATATAGTTAAAGTTATTCAAATGGATTGGTTTATACACATTCATCACATAAATCATATGTGAGTCACTTTAAAATTAAAGACTCTCTAAATGATGAAATCGGCTCTGACTGCTCTCGCACACCACTCTTTGGGGCTTTTCCCACCACCTTGAGCCCTAACCCTTGGGCGGTCTTGCTGAGGAGGGAATCCTGCAGGGGGATGCACACCCTGCCAGCTGGTGGGTGTCTGGGAGTAGAGGTCATTGACTCTCACGTCCGTCCTCCAGGGACTTCTGTCCTCCAGGGACAACCCACTAGCCATGAACACCAGGTGCGCAGGGCAGAACTAAGGCAACTTTGAGGCCTTCAAACCTGAAGGGCCTCCACCATCAAGGAACAAAAATAGTTTTCACAGCCACAGGGCGATGGCTGTGTCACGGAGCCCGGTCCTGATGAGTGTGTTTTAGCTTATGCTCCCAATCAGCCAGGTCTGGTGTTTGTAACAGAACGAGGAAGGCCTCCCACTGACCATTGCATTTTCTCTCCTGAATCATCCCAGCAACCTGGCCAGCAACCGGATCAACACCCTGGAGTCAGGAGCATTTGATGGTCTGTCACGGTCACTGCAGACACTCCGGCTGAGCAAAAACAGGATCACCCAGCTTCCTGTGAAAGCCTTCAAGTTACCCAGGTTGACACAACTGTGAGTACAGAAACCTGCACTTTAATTAAGGTTAGCCAGACTTTATGGAAGCCAGATTTCCCCGAAGACCCCGTACCAAATGCGACCCCTTCCTCATTCCCCCTGGTCAGACTCTGCATAAACTATCATTAATGACCCTGTGGCAACACCTAATAAAAACAAATTAAAAGCTGGGTCTGGTACCTGTGGGCGGCCTCGGGCTGAGAAAAAGATCCACTGAGTGTATACATACTCTTCTTCGCTGGCACTTGCTCAAATGAAATTCCAACTCCTGCTGGCCAGCAGCTGATCCTGGCTAACGCAGGCTGTGTGGGTTGATTCCTTATTTCTCCTTGAGGCTTTGTTTTTTCCAAAGGCACCCCTGTAGTCTGTGTTGTGGCCTAAAGGTGTCCAATGCTTCCTGAGCACTTTGAGAGTGAGTCATTGTAGCCAGAAGTAGTATAAGCAAGAGATGGGCTGTCTTCATTGCCAAAATATCCCAAGGTCGTTTATTTCTTTTTAAAGAAAGGATTTATTTGTTTCGTTTCTTGATCAGCAAAGCCAAGTGCCCTCCCACAGTGGACATAGGGTTTAGATTCAAGAAAACTCTGGTAACTAGAACCATGATCGACTGTTTCTTGGGTTTTTGTTTTGTCTTTTTCTCCCTGTATCTTCTTTATAGCAGAAGAGTGTAATTCAGGAAAACAAGTCAGTATTGGAGATTTGCTTTAAATGTAACAGAACAGTTGTTTAGAACTAGTTTAGCAAGACACTGGGGAGCCCCAGCACCCTCACTGTAGGTCTCACCTCTGGGGTAGATCCTGGCTACACTTGCTGCAGTCCTGAAGAAGCCTCCTGGCTGCCCAAGAGGTTGTGAGGGGCCAGGTCATGAGACGCTGCACAAGTATTTGGGTGAAAACCAAAGGCTCTTAAGCCCCGTGTTCACCTGCCCTTTCCCCAGTTTTACAAATGGGTCCAGCCCACCCACATTCCTGACATCTTAATTGAGGTTTTATCATGCTGGGGTACAAGCCAAATATGTATGCTTCATGATGCATCTAGATCTGCTCTCCCATATGCATAATGTTTCTCCAAAGTACAGACCGTATTCAATGTGGAGAGTGAAATGTGTCATTGTCATTTGATACCAAGGGTTAGATTTTTCCCAGGCTGAGGCATCATCATCTGTGGTTTTTGGTTGCTCAGCTAAGACACCTCACCTAAAAAGTTCCCATCCTGAGTCATGCCCACCACCTCACTGCAGAATCATGGACATTCAGGGATGAAATGTGAGTGCTCATTCACTCAGGGGCACAGCAGGGCCAGCTTCAGGAGAGATCTGACCGCCCCCCTCATCTTTCAACCATTAGCAGTGACCCGCATCATTGATGGCTCCTGGGTGGTGGCGGGAACAGCTCTGAGACTCACATGGGCCCGCTCGCCCTGATTTTCCCTGCTGGCTTAGACCCACTTGGGACTCGGTGAGAATGGTCCTAAATGGGGTATGTAAAGGATGCTCTGAACCCAGAGGCTTTGTCTTTTTAGGGACCTCAATCGGAATCGCATTCGGCTGATCGAAGGCCTGACATTCCAGGGACTCGACAGTTTGGAGGTGCTGAAGCTTCAGCGAAACAACATCAGCAAGCTGACAGATGGGGCCTTCTGGGGGCTGTCCAAGATGCATGTGCTGTAAGTGTGGGGCCTGGCCCCTTTGGGTGCTAAGGATGCTTGCTGGTCTGTTTTCATCACTTGGGCATGTTCATTCACCCCAGTGGGGTCGCAAGGCCCAACCTGCCCTTTGGAACTTCTACTGAGCCTGATTCTTTGTCTTTGGAGGCCACACCAGATCTAATGGTGTTTGCCTCAAAGGTTAGGAAAATCTTCTGGGGACAGTTTGAGTAAGTTGGTTGGTAAAAATGAAAGAGGTAGCCATTTGCTGGAGCCATCCGCCCCTTCCTCCCACCCCCGCCTGCTGCTTTAGTGACAGAGGGACCACAGGGTGGGCCCCCTTCCCACATCCTTTCCCCTCTCCCACACACTACAGGAAGTTCCCTCTCTCCCCTTCTGGGTTTGACAGTCTTCCTTGATGTGCAGGTGGGCTCAAACTGTACAGTTCATCCTGGGAGATTTATTTATGTTTTGTGAGCTAATCTACACACTCAGTACAGATGTTCCACTTTTATCCAGGGAGCACTCTTCTAGCCAGATGTGTGCAGTTGTTGCCACGCTGATAGACAACAAAAAGCATATAGCAGAGGCAGTGACTGCCGCCCACTTTCAGACATTTTCATTTGCTTATTTTTAATTAAAAGGAACATACATTCCTGGTTGGGTACAATCAGGTACTAAAGAAAAGCAGTCACTGCCCACAGCGGGTACCCCTCATCCCCTGAGCTCTCCCCCACTTCTTCTCCAAAAGACATCACTCCTCAGTCACTCCTAATCATTCCACTCTTAGACGTGTTCGGGGTTCTTTTTTGGGTTTTTTTTTTTTTTTTTTCGGTTGTGCTGGAGGCCGCTTCCAAGTTAACCCACATGTCTTGTTATCTGACTGGTTAACTCGAGATTTCTTTACAGTCAATGATTTAACTTGCTCAGAATACCTGCCACTCCTTTCCCTTCTCCATGGTTATGGCACCACATTTATATCCTTTCTTAATCACGATGAAACTGAAAACAGAAACCGTAGTCCAGCTCCATCGACTACTTATGCCAGCCTCATCCTCACATGATGCCCTTGAGGCCACACCTTCCCCCACACACTCTTTGTGATATGATGACACTATGCATTTTTTCCCCCATTTCTTTTTCGTCCTCCTTTGGCTAGCTCTTTACTTGACATCCTTAAAAGTGTTCTTTTGGGCTTTGAAATCCAGGTGTGTCATGTGCTGGGTAGGCCGAGATTAAAAGAAAATTCTTAGAAGAAAATGAAGTTGGTATCTGTGGTTTGGTTTTTATGTTGAACAGATTCATACAAATTGTGGGTGATGAGTTGCCTCAGAAGTTACTTTTAAGTTGAGAACTTGCCTTTTGAGCAGTGGTGGAAAGATGGATAAAAAGCAAAGCCTGGTTGCTCAAAGCCCTTGTTATACTGAACACAGAGCAACATTTGCATTAGTAACTTTTATTCAGAGGCCAGTCATATGGGGTTGAGTCGTCCTTGGCTAGGTCGCGCTGTGTCAAGCAGGGCTGTAACATCTTTGCTTAAAACTTGGTCGGAGCTAAGTTCTCAGCGTGGTGCTAAAATCACATGTGTTTTCTTCTGTAATGAATTACATAGATATTCTTGGATATCTCCATCTTACCTACATCCACCCACTGATGTGAATTATTGTGAAAAGGACCAAACCTGTCTCTCTTGTCTCTCCATTGACCTCAACCAGCAAATTGGCAAAATTGGGATTTGAATCCAGCTTGTCTGAGCCCAACTTCTCTGTGCCACATCTCTTGGCACAGAGCCTAAACTCGGTTTGCCAGGCCTGAGTTTCAAATCTGGCCCCTGACTACTTGCTGAGCAGTGACATCTGAAGTTACCTGGCTTCTCTCGGCCATTTTCCTCACCTGGGAGATAGGGATCATGCTGAGAGCTAAGTCTGTTTTCTTCCCCTTCCTGTAATGGACTTTGCCCTGCTTTCAGCCTCTGCTTGCATGGTTTACTTTATTCAGCTGAAAAGGTCACCTCTGGAAACTTTCCCCTTGCCCTCTGAAATTTTTGAGCTAGATTACCACCTTACTGGTTTTCCGTCTGTTCTCACCTCTGCACATGCACACACGCAGACCCCACGTTCTCTCATGCGCCGTGGGATCCCAGGGTGAGCAATGTCTACACAGAGTGGCTGCTTTTTGCTGTCGGTTCAGTGGATGCCTGGGTCTCCATCCTTCACGTGGCTTTCGTTGCAGGCACCTGGAGTACAACAGCCTAGTGGAAGTGAACAGCGGCTCCCTCTACGGCCTCACTGCGCTGCACCAGCTCCATCTAAGCAACAACGCCATTTCTCGAATCAACCGTGATGGCTGGAGCTTCTGCCAGAAGCTGCATGAGCTGTGAGTGTCCTCTGGCTTGCTCTGCACAATGTTCAGACACTGCCCGTAGCTGAATCCCCTAGAGCCCAGGAAGTGCTCAACCTGGAACCTTCCACAGCTTGGTGGGCCTGGGGAGTGCTTGGGTTCGGGGCAGGTGCCAAGAGGCAGGCTGGCAGCAGCCTGCAGGGACAGTGGAGCCCAGCCAGCCAGCCCACCCAGAGCTGAACCCCAGACCCTGATCTTTCAGATTAGCAGGGGATTCAGGGGTGGCCCTATATCCCCGCAGGGAGCCTCTACCCCAAGGCCTCCCTGGACTTAGGCTTTCTGAGGTAGAGGACTCCATTGTAGTCTCCTTGCACCTGTTGTGAGACCTCTGTACACTCACGGATGCACCAAGTTTCATGTGATTCCTCAATGAAAGGGGTTAGTAGGGCTCAAACCCAGAAGGGACAAGGAACCTGAGAGCTGGCGATTGCACAGCCTCGCAGTGTCCACCTTCTTCCTGGGAACCCCCTTTAGAACCCCTGGCCTGGTAGCAGAGCTCCAGCACCAACATGGACGTGTGCTTATGCTTCACCTAAAGATGCATGGCTCCCTCTTTGGAGACTCCCAGGCAGGCTCCTGGGCAGTGCCTCAGGCCCCTGGCAGACTCCCTGGGCCTGCAAGGGTGAGTGGCTTCAATAATGAAACCAGCATTGCTACAGACTCGGTGGCCATATCCTGCTCCGTTGTTTCTGTCCTGCCTCGAGAAGATCGGTCACTTGGTAGAAAACAACAGTGTTTGTTATTGTAGTTTAATATGCTCAAGGTTTCTCAATTCTGTTTCAGTCCAACATTTTTTTTTTTTTTAATTTTTAAGAGGGCTTGGGTGGATTTTCTTTTTTTCTCAGCTTGAGATAGGAAAAAATTCACTCACTGATGTGATTATTAAATGTAACAAGTCTGTCTTGTCTCTCTGTTGACCTCACCAGGAACATTAAACTGAACGTTGAGTCTTACAGTTGGTGTTTTTAATCTGTTCTTTTATGTTTTTACCCTACATACTCACTGCATGCTAGCCGGAATTTTTATTTCAGGGAATCTGCCATTACTGAATGCACAATTAATAGTCCTGCCTCTTTCCCTGGACTCAGTCTCCTCTGATTGTGTGTACGTGAGTGTGTGTCAGCCCCTTTAGGTTAGCTTCCTGATCCAGCAAGGCAAGGTTCTAGTCTCAGTGACACTGGACGGCTTCTGGCAAGGTCTTTCTTTGCTCAGGCTGTGACCCTACTAGGGAATGCCCAGAACCATGGTTTTCTGACCAGGCCTGGGGAGGGACTCAAGAGAGGTCATCTCAGTCCCCCAGCCTGAACCAGCAGTACTTCTAGGGTAAGGAGTAGTCCCTGAATCACGGAAGGTATCTGGTGTTGCAGTGTGAAGGGCTTCCTCCCAGTGCCCCCACTCTGGCTGGTGGGCAACGTGAAGCTGTCTTCTGTGCCCTCTAGAAGAGGCCCAGGAGGGCACGGCAGGGGCCTTGTCCAGTCCTAGCAGTTTGCCTGACATCCAGGCAACCTCGGAGCCAGGTTTCAGGTTGCTTTCCCATGTGTTTCCCGCCCCTCTTTTAAGCTAGATTCTTTAATTGCAGGTGAGGATGTAATTTTGATCTCTTGCCAGGCCTTTGCGACTGACAGACACCATGACTTATGTCTCCAAGAGGGGAAGAATGTTATTCCCTGCCGACTTTAAAAACTCATTAATCTTTGAATTTATTTTGCTTCTTCCTGCTCCAGTCCAGATTTCCCATTTTTCAATGATAAATAACTAAATGTCAATTAACCAATGCAGGGCTGTCCCAGAGGTGCTGTCTGGGAGAAAGGAAAGTTGATGCTCGGGGAAGATGTGTGGCTTGAGGCATATTCCCCATCCTGCTTACCATAGGGGAATCATGCTAAGAGGCTGGCCCTGATGGGGTCAGGGAGTCTTGGAAGGGAGGCTAGTTGAGGGCAGCAGCCCAGGTAAGGACAGATGCCCTGGGGAAAGCTTGTTCCCAGCTCATGCTGCCCTCTGCTGGTCAATGTCGGGAATCCACCTGACTCCCTTGCTCACTGTCAGAGCCTCCCAGGGTCCTGTCAAGTCTTAGGCCACTGCCTCGGGAGCCTTTCAGGACCTGAATTAAGTCCAGTCTTGAACAGCAACACGAAGGTGTGGGAGCCTTATGGGTTCTCATGTGTATGACCTTGTTTAGGCCTCACAGTAAAACAGGATTCCTGATCTCCATGACCTTCTCAACCACTGCAGGAGTCAGGCTAGATGGGTGCAGGCCCAGTGGTAACATTTGCTCCCCTCTCTTTCCTCAGGATTCTGTCCTTCAACAATCTCACCCGACTGGACGAGGAGAGCCTGGCCGATCTGAGTAGCTTGAGCATCCTGCGCCTGAGCCACAATTCCATCACCCACATCGCAGAAGGTGCCTTCAAGGGACTCAAAAACCTACGCATCTTGTACGTCTTTCCGTGCGGGTTGACAGAATGAAGGGGGTTCTGGCTGGGAGAACAGGATACAGCAACCACGTGCCTAGATGAGTTCCCTTCACATAGTCATGGAGCTGGAATGGGATCCAAAACTGACCTGCTGTGTGTGTCACATCTCAAACTTTATGATCAACTGAGAAAGAATTGGCTGAACAGAACAATGTCTCTCACTCTTTCAAAAAATTGTGCTTAGCAAGCACTAGACCCTGCAGTATACTTGGCAGGGTGCTGGGGTCCTGTGGTTGGGAAAAGCTCCCCAGGCTGAGCACTGGCACAGGTCAGCAGCCATGGGTCGGTCTTTCTAGTCTTGAATCTTCCCACTGCAACTTCCCTTTTTCAAGTCCTGACTATGTTCCATCTAAGCCAGTGAACAGTGAGGCTGGTCTCAGAGCTAGCATTTGGGCTGCTTCAGCACACCCTGGGTCTAGGAGGCTCCATTTCCAAGAGAGGTAAAGAGGTGTTTCTTCAGCCCCATCTGGGGTCATTTCACGAGGTGAAGGTCATTTTCCTCCAGGTTTCTAATTAGGGGGGCTTGCTGGAGGTTGTTATAGGATGCTTTCTTGGTCTTCTGTAGAAGTTTTTGATTGTTGGCTTCAGAGAACTTTCAGGCAGCTACCACCATAAAACCCCCAAAGAAGAGCATTTGGGTTTTGTCCGAAAATGCTAGAGTGTTCTAGGGATACCTTCCCGGCATGCTTAGTGGGAGAGGGGCCCTGTTCAGGGTAATAAGGAGAAAGCCCTTTGCACTTGCACCTGGCAGAGAGGGCAGAGTAGGCTTTAAAGCCAGGCCATTGTTATGGAGTGTGAAAGAGCCGGAGGCCAGGCTATTCAAGCCCTTGCAAGGCCTGAATAAGAAGGCCTGGAACGTTCTGACTGAGCAGGCCAGAAAGAAGAGAAAAGCCTTGGCACCAGGGTAAGGAGCAGGGAGACAGGCACACAAAGCCACAGCCCCTGGGTCCCTGGGCTTTTTAGTGTGAAGATAATAGGGAGAAACCTATTAAAAGAAGTTCCTTCCAGTGGCAGAATGTCAGCTCTTTGAGCTTCCTGCTGTAAAATAAAGGTCACAGCAAGCTTTGCACTTTTCAGTCAGAGTTCCCCTCCCTGTTGGCAGCGCTGATTCCTCTGACTTTCCTGGGAGCCAAGAGCAGCATCCCTGTCTATTCCTGGTGTCTCTTTTGCCAGACTTGGGATGGGAAGGTGTAGGGACTTGGAAAATCTGTGGAAAGCTAGAGAGGGCTGACCATGTGGCAGAACGGGGCCTGGTCACCAGGTGGGATGTCTTGCCTGGCACTGTGACCTGCCCTTGGAAGTTGGGGGAGGAAGCTGAGTCATAGGCCTTGTGATTTGCATTGTTGAAGGAGACTGGGCTGAAAACTTGGCCTTCCCCCGCTCCCCTTCTCAAGTGGGTCACAAGTCTGACTCAGCAGCCAGATGTCGACCCTGGCTCTGCATCAGCCCCTGTGAAGGCCCTGCGAGAGGCCGGGGGCTCCGGGCTCCACACCCACTTGCCAGCATGGAGGGCCGTGAGCTGGGACCTTTTGGTTTGCCGTTCCAGTCCTCTGTGTGCCTTCAGTTCTATAGAAAGTACCAGAAAAGGGACTCTGGTGGGTATGAGAGCGGACAGGAACCTTTAGGAACCCTTTAGATTGATTCTCAGTGCCAGGGGCCAGATGTCTGCTCTCTGTTTTCCGCTGTGCTGTCCACACCTCCTCTCTCCCCTGGGACTCAACCTAAGGTGACTGGGGAATGGCAGATGGAGCCAAGCTGTAGGTCCCAGGCCTATGTCAGTTTTGCTCGAAGACTGAGAAAGCCAGCCAGGAACACAAAGCATGCAAAAGTGGGCTTCCTGGGGCTCAGTGGTGGTGCTTCTCCTGATCCTGGGTGACGGCTGCACATGTAGCACACCCTTTGGGTCTGTTCTCCCACTTGGTGTCGAAGAATGTGCCGAGAGCACAGACTGCTTAGTGAGCTCTCTCTCTTCCTTCTCCCCAGGGATCTGGACCACAATGAGATATCTGGCACAATAGAGGACACCAGTGGTGCTTTTACGGGGCTTGAAAGCCTAAGCAAGCTGTGAGTATCCTGGCATCTGAGCTCTATTGGAGATGGCACATTGCCCCCGCCCCTGCGCCCCCGCCCCGTTTGTTCTGGACCTGGCTGAGGAGAATTGGCCACGTGTATCTACTTTTGTGTATGGTGCACGGCCTGAATAAGAGCAGGAGGCTTCTCTCCCCAACTCCTCTCTGGCCAAGGGTCTCATCGCTGCCCTGGAAGATCTTCTTTCCATTTTAATTCATGAATGTGAAAACAGCCACAAATGAGTTTTGCCCTCTTACTCAGTTTCTAGAAATTGTGTGAAAAACTTAGTGTCCAGTAACCCTTAATGATTTTGAGTCTTTGGTCAATATTTTTAATGTCAATTACAAACTTGAACAGAAAGTCATTACCAAGTGTGGTGTAATAGCTCTTTTTTATTCAAAGTTTCCAGCTGGCTTTTTGTTGTTTTAAGCTCTAGAATTTGCCAGTTACTCTTCTAGGCATTGTGTGTGGGTGTGCTGTACAGGATTCCCCTGCTATCCAAGAGTAGAACATTCCTATTTGATAGGTTACTTTTTGGGTCTGGGAATGCTATTACCATTAATTTATATGGAAAGATTTTTGAGTGTTCCCAGACCCAGAAAGTAACCTACCACATCCTACCAAAAAAAGGCCGTTCTGCTTTCGGACACCAGGGAAACCTGCCCTTAATGATGTGGTGAGGGCAAGCTCTCCTGCAGCCTTTCTGTCATTGAGGAAACAGGTGAAGGGTTTTTGTTTTTTTTTTTTTTTTTTTAAAGATTTATTTATTTATTTATTTATTTTTAATAATAAATTTTATTTTTATATTCCCCCATACAACTGCACATGCCCCATTCTGACCCCAATCCCTCCCCTCCCGGCCCCCACCCCCCAATAAGTGTCTCTGGTTCATAGTTTTTTGTTGATTTTCATTTTCACTTTCTTATAGTTATTCATTTTCCTGGTCCCTTATTTAAGTTTTCTAGATTCCTGCTATGAGTGAGACCATCCGGTATTTTTCTTTTTCTTTCTGGCTTATTTCGCTGAGCATGATCCCTTCCAGCGCCATCCATGTTGCTGCAAATTGCATGTGTTTATCATTTTTGAATGCTGAGTAATATTCCATGGTATATATGTAAACAGGTGAAGGGGTTTTACCCAAGAGCACAGTTTGGGTAGGTGGCAGCCACAGTCTCTCTCACCCAACAGTCTTTTCTCTCTGCATCTCACCCAAGCTTTATGCAGATACAGCCCAAAGCACCCACAGCCTTAGGGACTAGAGTGATTTTTATTGTTTACTAGCAACTCAGAGGGAGGGTTTGGAGGACAAGACAAAGAAGCCAGCCACCACTCCCTGAGCCCAGTCCCGGGACAGCCCCTCCCCTCCTCCCCTGGCAGAGCAGGAGTGTAAAGTACATATTTTGAAAACGCCAGTAGCGTGCAGGCTCCAGGAGAGCCTGCGGTAGGGAGTCTTTCTGTATAGTTAATGCTTCTATGGTTTGGGAAAGTGGGCTTTTTCACACCTTGTATACTCTGAGGGTTGTGAGTAAAGATAAGTATTTGGCCCTCAGGGAACTGTATCTTGACAGCTGTCAAAATGGCTGTCAGGCATTCCTGTTCTTCCCTGAAAAACTCCCCTGTCCCTGCCCCTGTTCACACACTGCAAGCTTGGGAAGACCAAGAAAGCATAAGGGGAAAGCTGGGCCCGAACTGACCAGATTCTCTGAGCTCCAGGGTGTGCCATTCACACGGCCTCAGCACCTCTCATGAATTTGGGGAGGGGGTGTCTGCAGGGGACGGAGAGTGGATGGCATCCCCCTCCAGTGTTCCATGACCCAGGAGGTTCTTCTTTGGCAGCCCTTGGGGGTGCCAGACTCCTGGTTCTGAAGAAATCTGCCTGTTTCCATGGTCTGGGCCATGTCTTAATTGTGTGCTGGTATTTCTCCTACTTCAACTGCAGGGTTAGCTTTGCAGTTCTGTCTAAAGTTCCAAGAAGTCAGCGTAAGCCCCCACGTTCCTCACGTGTCGTGTCACTTGACATGGGCTTTCTGAAAGTAGTGGGCTCCGTGCTGATACTCAGGGGAAATCGTTAAAATTCATTCTCCATGCATCTCTCCCCCCTCCCCCCCACCCCTTAGCCCTACCCCTCAGACTCTTGGGGATGGGAGCTCTGAACATATTTCGAAAAAGAGAGGTGCACATAGTTCAAGGAAATTGGAACAACAGCTCCTTAATGTGATTAAATATATGCAATTAGCTATTCGGGTGGGATGGCATCATGGTTATGATGCAGAAGAAGAAGGAGAACCTCCTTGGATTTTAAAAAAAAAAAGTGATTTGCGTTGCCAGTCATCTGCGCAGGTTGTGTAACAGGAAGTAAGTCAAGGAAGAGAGGAAGCAGGTTGCATGATTGGAAGGTGGTCGCAGTGTGTTGCAGGCAGGTGGAGTTCCCCACACGATCTGCCTGTGATGGTGTGTGAAACTGCAGCGTTAGAAGGCAAAACAGAAAGCCAGTGCTCTCCAGTGACCCTGGCGCATGACTCTGGTTACAAACCACTGCTTGTGGCAAAGGGAGGTGTCGCGTGAACCCCTGAGAAAGGATGGAGGGAGGGTCTGGGTAGGTGCAGCCAAGCTAGGCAGGGAAGGAGGGGCAACCTGTGCTGCTTCCTTCACCTGTGCCATCTGGAAACGAGGCTGTGACCCTGGGGTGTGCCATTCAAGTAGCTAGTGGTATCCGTTGGGTTCATGAGAAGTGAGGAGCATGTTAGTGTGAAGAAAGGTTGCCCCTCTAGAGCTGTTGTGGCACACGGAACGTACTTCTCTGGGGGGAGTGTGGGCTGTCTCTGTTGCTCTTGAATGTGTTTTGGGGAGCGTGGGATGGGAGGAACTCTCTGGCGTTCACTCAGTTGGTCAAGGACCTGGGGTCTTTCTAGCCATGCCAGAGGCCAGAACTAAATTAACATGTTTTCCAAGAGGGCCTCTCTGGTGGCGCAGGAGGTTGAGCACCGCGCTGTGAAGCTGCCCGCAGCCTCTGCAGTGCCGGTTCGATCTTGGCCGGCCGGCAAGGGTCCCACATGGCGCGCAGACCTCTCCTGCCGCCCGCTGCTCCCCTCAGCAGTGTACTTCGCCAGTCTGCCTGTTCTGTTCCCCGCTCTGTCTCTGGTGAGTCCTCTCACCCTCCTGCACATCTGGCCTGTACGCTGGTTCGCCAGTTCTTGTATAAATAAATAAATCTTTAAAAAAAAAAATGTTTTCCAAGAAAGGAAGAATGAGCAGCAGAGCCATGACAGGCCTCACTCTGTGAACACTGGAGGGTTATCCTGCCCTGAATATTTCTAACTGCTAAACATGGTCATTTGGGGTAGTTTTTCCAGCCCAGAGCTTCCTAGCAGGGTGAGGCTGTCCCTAGATGCTAGCAAGTGCCTTTCCTCCTAGTTGACATTCACCTGCCCCACAGACCCCACCTTCAGAACGATGGGACAGCTGCTTGGGCCCGTGCACCGACTGGAGTTAGTATGTGAGGAGGGAAGGGAGAATTCTGGAGCACAAATGTAACGCAGGAGCCTGCCCCTGGGTTCCAGCTCCTCCCCAGCATTCCTTGGGAGGGAGGGGGTTGGGTGACACATGGGTGGCATGTGTGAAAGGGAGTGTTAGGGAAAATATGCAGAACTGGATCTTGAAACCAGGCTTCTCGAATACTGCAAGGTTGAGTCGGTCTGGGTAGGTGCTATTGCCCCGCGAGGGGAAGCTTGCCCCAGTCTCCACTGAGTAAAGGTGGAGCAGAGAGACCGGTGTTTCTTGCTCATGAGGGCATAAGGCTGTCGTCAGGGTCCCGGCTACTCTCCTGGTCAGCACAAGGACCCCTCGCCTGCCAGGGTTGCCTTAACAAGAGAGCAAAGGCCTTTGGGAGCTCTGGACTGGGTGGCTGGGAGATGTGTGAGAGGATTTGGTGACTTCCCAGGGTCCCTGGGTGGGGGAGAGGAGACCCCTGTTGCTCTGCGGGGGGCCCTAGATCAGGTGCCGCCAGGTCTTGGGGTCCCTTGTCCCGTGGAAGGGCAACTGTTCCCTGGCAAAGTCACAGCTCTCCTTTCTCCACAGTGCCCGGTTACGAGGGCCGTCCCCTTCCACTGGCTTCTCGAGCACGGCCCCAGCCCCATGTCTGCTGAGAGAATGTAAAGACCTGTTTCGGCCCAGCAGCAGGATGATTAGCCCCTGCGTAATTGAGAATTTGTTTTATTGCCATTGTCACCATTAGAAATAACTGCCTGCCTTCGTTGTAAAAGAGGTCAATGTGGCTAATATTTAATGGATGAAATAAAGCACAGCTTTTTCCTGACTTTCGTTTACGGGAGATTTCACTAACCAGTTCAAAACGTTTTACTAGGTCCTGGGGCGCAGGGGCCGGGCGGGGTGCTAAGTGAGTGGGGCCGGGCGGCGCTCAGACAGGCTGTGGTCAGGGAGTCCCAGCAAGCCTGGCCACTGGGCCGCTGTGTGTTTGGTTTGTTTGTTTTAAAATAAAAGCTTCAGATTGAAAGAGGTTGTGGAAACATGTTCAGGATGAGATTGTTTTCACATCCACACAGACTGCCTCCGAAAGAAAGGCAGGCCCGGGGGCCTTCAGCCTGGCTGCCCCGTCCCCCTGCGGAGGCAGGAAATAGTGTTGGCTTTGTCTGAAGGCTGAACTCAGTTACGGGTAGGGGCTGCTCACTGGATGACCCGAGAGGAGTTTGTTGAAGTGGGGGGCTGGGGAGTCCCTGTGGTGGCGTTGCCCTGAGGTGGCACGCAGGCTCGTGGGGGGCTCCAGGGTGCAGGTGGAGAATGCACCTCCCTCTGTGGCTCCTGACGGCCCTGGGTCCGGCCCATGCGTGATCCTGTCTCTTGGAAGCAGCATCCTGGTCCTTCCGTCAGTGGTGCCTCCAGGACCTGGTTTTGCAGTTAGATGGAAGCTTGGCCTGTGGGCACTGCCCCGCCACCTTTGGTTTTCTTCGACACTCACTCGTCCTCCTTGCAGGGAGGGCCGGGGCTTGCTGCTGACCTTCTGATCTGATCTGAACGCTGGCGTGAGGCTGGCCTTCAGTTGAGATCTTTTGCCATTCTTGGTGGAATCGGGAATAGGACTTTCTCTTCCCGGTAGAGGGCCGATCTAGACCGGCTTTGTCCAAAGGTCCTGCTCTGACCACCAAGCCCATCTGACAATTCTGAGATTTTGCAGAAGTGGGCCCCACAGTCCTTATCGGCTGTGAGCTCTGCCGCTAACCCTGATGGACAGCAGAATCCCAGAGCCCAGGCATTTGTCAGCTTTACCCTCTAGTGTCCACCAGCAGAAGGTTCCTGGGCCCAATGGACTTAGAGGAAATGTTCTGGTGGGCTCGCATCAGAGTGTCTGAGAACAAGGTGGCAAAAGCTAGAAGGTTGATTCCTTTCATTCCCAACATTCAGCCCACTCCTGGTGCCTCCCTCAGAAACGAAGGGAGCGACCGAGCACAGAGGGAGAAGCACTTGTTTCTTCCATGTGTACTGCATGGGGCAGATACTGGTTCCTGGGAGAATCTTTAGAATCCCTGCAGTGTTCGGGATAGGAAGTGTGTGGAAGCAGTGGGCCCGTTCTTGGTGGGCAGTCCAGGTCCACGGGCACTACAAGGTTGGCCTTTGAGGACCTCTCTCTCTGGGATTTAATGCGCCTTGGCCAATTGGCAGCATTTAAAGTCTAGGTTCTTGCTAAAGAACGTAGGGGGCTTTGGTGTCCCCAGCAGGCTGGGGGCGAGGGGCTTGTGGCTATATCCTCGGTGCTAGGGAGAGCCTCAGTGCCAAGACCTAGGTGCCTCCTGTCCTTTTCTTGCTTCCTTTGGGAACCTGTATCCCCAGAGCAGTTTTTAGATGTTGGTCATCACTTTTAGTTCCAGAGTTGCATTTTGTTCTCTGACTCTGCTTCCTCTTCCTGAAATGATGATCTGTTCCCATGAAGCCATTGCTGAATGTCACCTCCCCTCCACCCCACCTTGGGTGGTCTTTGGAGAGAGGTAGCCTGTGCTGGACGAGGTGATTCCCACTTACCATTAGACAGCGTCTTTTTTAGGCAAGACAGTGTATGCAACTTCAACCTGTCATCATGGCTAAATTCTAATCAAGAGAAAAGTATTTCATTTCAGAAAGGGAAGGCCTGCATCCTTCAGGCTCGTAATCTCAGCCCAGGTCAGGTTTCCACCTGCCTCTCACTGGAGAGACTTACCAGCTAGCACTCCCCTAATTGTGTGTTCTCTCTCCCCCAACCCTCCCATGTCTCCTCCCCCCACCCACCCCCATTTTTCTTTTCCTGTTTCTGGATGTTTGGAAACTGCAGAACTCTGTTTGGAAATAAGATCAAGTCCGTGGCTAAGAGAGCATTCTCGGGGCTGGAAGGCCTGGAGCACCTGTGAGTATCTTGCCAGACCTTCCCCGGCCCACAGGCCTGCCAAATGTGGCTGCTGGGGAAGTCTGCTAGCAATTTAATAGCATCTTTGTAAACTGAGAAACAGGCTATTTGGAAACGCCAGCTGCTTCCTTCTCATTAAATAAGTCAGCTTCAACTTTGGCCTTTATTTTGCTTGTGCCAGGAACAGTTAGAGAACATATGGCTCGTCGACGAGCTCTCAATTAATGCAATTGGTATTTGGATAAATGCCCTCCTTCCTCCCACTGCCCGGCTCCTCCACAGCCCCTGCGCTCCTTTCTGCTGCATCAGGGTGCTCCACCCCGGCTCCAGCTGAGGCCCCCGGTAAAGCAGCCCAACGCTGCTGTGTCCTCTTGGGCATACCCGGGAGGTCTCCTAGTGTGCTCCCCGGAGGCCTGGGAGGAAAAGGATGGAGCCTGCCCAGAGACACTCGCATTGTCACCCTCTGGGGCCGATAGGCCTCTGAGTACTTGACTGAGTCTTTGAATCAAGTTTTGCCTTATTTCTGTGAGGAAGGGTTTTGCTCGTTTACTTGCTGAGCAGTACCCAACTGGACGGTGCCCTAACCCGGCTCCCGGGCTGTTCAGCACATGTGAAGCGACAGCCATGTGGATATAGGACATAGGAGTCTGGCTAGGACCTGTGGTTCTCGGGCAAAACCAGGGCTAGCCAGCAAATCCCCTGAGCTGCTTGGCTCACACATGTGGCTGGCATAAAGGGAAGGTGGGTTTCTTTGCATATGTATGTAGAGTGTTCTTTTACAGGAACCTTGGAGACAATGCAATCAGATCTGTCCAGTTTGATGCCTTCGTGAAGATGAAGAATCTCAAAGAGCTGTAAGTACCTGGATTCTGTGGCTCTGATTACCACAAGTTGAGAATTTCAGAGTAAGAAACACCTTAATTGCATTATGCCTCATTTTATATAATATTGATGATGGCTAATAATTGTGTGTTTAAAAAAAATAATGCCCTGTGGGGGTAGGTATACTCTGGATCAGGGGGTCACAATACTTTTTCTTAAAGGGCCATATGGTAAATATTTTCAGCTTGGTGGGCAGTAGGTTCTGTCATAACAGATTGACTCTATTGTTATAGCATTAAGCAGCCATAAACACATAAGCCCATGGCATGACTGCACTAGTAAATTCCTATTTACTAAAACAGGCAGTGAGCCTGCAGCCTGCAGTTTACTAACTGCTCTTCTAGATCGTGGGAAATGAACTCTCTTCTACCTATGGGCTAGTGGCATAGTAGCCTGTTCACATCCGTTGCCAAGGCCCCCCAGAGCAGTTTATAGGTTATGTTGCTGCCCCCGCTAAACTCCTCTGAGCCTTTGGGTGGCAAAGGTTAGAAGAGCTTATCTGTTGCCTAGTCTCTGGCAGAGAAGCCAGTCTAGGTATTCAGGTAGCAATACCCACATTTCCTTTCTTTTACCTATACGTTTATCTGATTCTATAGGTAGTAAGTTCTAACTGTAACATTAGTCCCCTAAAGTTGTGACCTTGGTTCTTACAAGTGCTGACAGAATGCTGGATGGCACACGGTAACTGTTTTTGCACCCTGACTTCATCCTCATCCTGGTAGATCCTAGATGCAGCTTAGGGCAGGAATGGGGAAAAGGGAGGCACAGGCCTGTAGCTGAGAGCCAGATGAGGACCTGTGTCTGTGGGCGAGGGCAGGGCAGGTGGCCTGCTTAATAGAAGGATGCTTGTGCTTATTAGAAGGATGCTTTCTTAGAAGGGTCTTGGAATGGGAGCTTGTAGGGGGTTTCATGAACTCTGAGGACTCAGCAAAAAGCTGCTACACCCTGACACCTGCCCTCCTTAGAACTTCAGCATCGTCTGTTTGGGTAAGACTCCAAAGGATGCCATAGCTCAAGAGGAGGAAGGTGATCCGAAGAATGGGTACATGGATAGATGTGTCATCAAACAAGTAGAGTAGATTAATCGTAAAACCTAAGTGATAAGTACGTGAGTGTTCACTTCAGAAGTAATGTTGGAAGTAAATATCTGGCTGTATAGGGAGAGATTTTTCTTTTGGCCTCCTGGAAATTCAGGTTTTCTATGACAGAGCCTTTCCAGGTGCTTGGACCCTCCCACGGTGCTTCTGCGTGGTCCCGGAGGCTCAGCCTTGGCCCCTGCCTGTGTTTCCCATCAGTCGCTGCACATGCCCAGCTGTGGCTGGCCCCGGGCCCAGTCCCCTGATGGAGAAATGGTTAATTCCTCTTGGTCATTTTCTTTCCCTGTCAGATCAAGGCAGGTTGTACTGCACACTCAGTCATCCTCTGGGTAAATTTCCACCAGCACTGATTAGAAACACACTTTGAGTTGGAGTCATGAAAATGCACAATGGAAGCCAGCTGGGTGTTGAGGGGGCTGGAGGCAGGAGTTGTGGAAGGCCCGGCCTGTTAGCAGTTGACAAGGTTGTGTTTTTAGCTGGTGGAGGAGGAGCAGTGGAATCTGCACAGCCCTAAGGGCTCAGCCTCTCAACCTAGCCTTTGTCTAGAAGTAACTGGGGGCCAGGGAGGTCAGGGGCCAGTGTCCTCACTATTTGGCTCTGTTTCCTTTCCATCTGTTCTGTTGGTCCTAACTCATCCTCTCGGAAAGCCTTCTCTCCACCCTGAGGCATCTGAGGCCTGGTCTCCTCTCTTTGAGGTGGGTTGCATTGTGGAGGAGGCAAGACGCTCTCGAGGGACGAGGCCCAACAAGTATATTGAATGTGTGCTGAGCCTGAACCCCTTCCACACGCCTTTCTGACCAAGGATAAATGGCAAATTTGTTTTCCTCAGTTTGCTCCTGTGACACAGATGAAATATGGTCTTGCCCCCATGCAGGTGCCTGAGGTCTGACAGTGACAGCCCAGTGTCTTTCTCCAGACTTCTACATGCACATCCAGGCTCTCCTGCTGACTGCAGAGAGGGGCAGTCACGCCACAAGCCCCTAGACAGGAGCGGTAGCTGCTTCTGACACTGGGAGGGTTCCTTTCCACTCTGCTCCTCACTGGTGGGTGTCTTGGTGCCCCTGCACACACCACACGCAGCCCACCCAGGGAGCTGTGTGCGGAGTGGGGGCTGTCCCGTGGTGAGCTGCCACCTCCAGCAACTCAAGGGGCGGCCCTCCAAGTACTTCTGTGCACAGAGCTCCCTGCCTGTCAAATGAAAACAAACTCAAATGCTGATTTTAAGGTGTGCGATGAGCAGGCACCCCAGTTATGGCTTTGAGATAGAGTATGTCAGTCTTTGAAAAAGCACTTTGCAGGGCCTCCCTGGTGGCGCAGCGGTTGAGCGCTGGGTTGCGAAGCTGCCCGAAGCCTCCGCGGCGCCGGTTCAATCCCTGGCTGCTCCCCGGCCACCGGAGGGAGGGTCCCACATGGCGCGCAGACCTCTCCTGCCGCCCGCTGCTCCCCTCAGCAGTGTACTTCGGTCCTTCAGCCTGCTCTGCTCCCCGCTCTGGCTCTGGTGAATTCTCTCACCCTCCCGCGCTCTGACTGTACCCAGTGCATGTATGCATGTATAAACAAAACAAACAAACAAATAAATAAAACATGCCTCTATAAAAAAAAAAAAAAAAAGAAAGCACTTTGCAAGGGGTTTTAGTAAGATGCCTAACCAACCTGAACGCGATGAGAAACCTAAGAGTGGATTTTAATTGATTCAGCCTTCAGTAACCTGGCTTGAATTTCATTCTTCTTTGCTGTTTGCTAGTTTGATGATTTTTCTGCTCATCAGGTCAGAGTGAAATAGAAGAAAACAGCTGCTTATTTGGTTGCTGTGTCAATGTCTGAGGAAAAGGGTGGCAGGAGAATGAAGCTGTTGCTCTAACACTGGCCTATGAGACATTCTAGGAATTTCTGCGCATACGAGCACCTCCTTTATGTCCCCGTGTCCCCAAAAACAATTCATTTAGGAAGTTCGTACATCTTCTGTCCCTGTCTTCATCCTTGTCACAGACCGGACTCCAGTCTTTAGCTCACGGCCTTGAGGTCTTCCAGAACAGGGCCGCGAGACTCTGGTGGACTTATCTCTGAGTGACTCCTCAGGAAGGAATGTCCGCTGAGATGGCAATTCCGATTTCTGTTGAAAAAACTTACCCTCAGTTGCTGAGAAATGAAAAAGAAAATATTCTCTGTTTGGGTTGGAGCCTCGCAAAACCGAGCATGTGCATTCTCATGCTCCCTGGGCAGTGGTAATTAACTAACAAGCACTATTTAGGGAACACGGCCGAATTCTGCCAGCCCCTGCGTCGTCGTGCTGGTGTGGAGAGAAATGCACAAACAAGAGGGGTGCACGTTGGCAGGGCTTACGTTGGAAAGGAAGAAAACAAGCAGCTTTGCCAGATACGAAAATAACAGCCATATCGAAAAAGAGCCCTTCTCAGAACTTGTTTCCCAGTTTCTATCAAAGTCAGATTGAATCTGGAAGCTCCAAGTAGCTCAGGAGAGTGGGAAAAGGCGAGGGGGCAGTGCCACTCATCTCTGTCGGGGGGTCGGGGGTCCCAGGTGTCCCTCGGGTCACACAGAGCCGTGTCTGAGGTGGGTGAGCTCCAGGTCGCTGCTGCTCAGTGTGGGCCTCAGACCGGCGGTGCCAGCATCACCTGGGAACCTGTCAGAACTGCAGAATCCTGGGTCCTAACCCTGGCCTCCTGGGGCAGGCACTCTTTTATTAAAATCTCCAGGGCTGCTGGGGCCAGTGCACAGGAACCATGAGAGAAAGCATTTCCAGGCCAGGTTGATAGTGTAAATGGCAGCAGCCGATCAGAGGCAACAGAGCACCCCATATGCCGAGGGAACATCCTCTTTCCTGGGCACACCCCCCAATCCCTTTTGTTTTTCTTCCAGTCATATCAGCAGTGACAGCTTCCTGTGTGACTGCCAGCTGAAGTGGCTGCCCCTGTGGCTACTGAGCCGGACACTGCAGGCGTTTGTGACAGCCACCTGTGCCCACCCGGAGTCCCTGAAGGGCCAGAGCATTTTCTCTGTGCTGCCAGAAAGTTTCGTGTGTGGTAAGAGTCTTTGAATGTTTGTTTTGTTTTCGTGAAGGGCGAGGAGACCAGGGAGGAACTCTCCGTTGTGGGAGTGAGTCCTGTGATCACATTCAACCCCAGCCCACGGCTACCAGTCAGCTGCTGGGGGCACGCTGCTTCCCGTGGACACCGCACACAGCATTGACTGCATGGCCGCGGTATGTGGTTCTGGGAGAACATGCATTTCATCAGGAGGGAGCACGAGTTGGTTGAATTACAAATCAGAATAATCAGTTACAGGAAGAGAGTTGTGTTCTTGAGGGCGCTGGTGCCTGGGTTTAGCTGTGAAATTACTGGATGTCTGAGGCTGGGGTTTTAGCATGTGTTTCTTTCCAACCCAAGAATTAAAGGTTAAATACAGGAAGAACAAATCTCAGGAGTACAGTTGCTGTAGTAAAAATAATTCCTTGATGTTGACTTGCACTCTTGCTGCTTCTCCAAACCACTGAAATCTGCACTTGTAACTTGACATTCCTTTTTCCTGTGGATTATTGGAATGTAACTCTCGCCATCTTTTTAACCAGGGGTGGTCATGATCCAAGTTCAGTGGCACAGAGCACAGAAAAGTGCCAAACACACAAACACACGCACGCACACACACACAGGGTGGGGGGGGGAGAGAGAGAGAGAGAGAGAGAGAGAGAGAAATGACATAGCCTTGTGGTCAGGAAGATGTGATGAAAGAATGTGATGAATTTTGAGTTGTTTCTGGTTTCTGCTCTAAGTGGGAATGAAGGTGGTTCCCAGGCCTGAGTCACCACCAGGCAGGTACGTGTCTTCGGTCTTCTGTCGTCCCCAGGCCTCCCTGAGCTTCAGAACCTCCTGTGATGATCCTGACCCGCCTCATCTGTCCATTATTGACTGTGGAGGGTTGAATCCTGCATTCTACTGTGTGCGTTGTCTGCAATGTCTCTTAATACCTTCAGTTCTGTCAGTTTTTCGTCAAATTTCATGGAACTCTGTTAGGTGCAAATACGTTTATAATTTTTATGTATTCTTGATGAGCCGACCATTTTATATCATGTTATTCTTTCTGTCTAGGGCCAGCCTCTGTCTTGATCTGTTTTCTCTTATATATCCTGTAGCTCTCTTCAATTTTGTATTGGACTCCTTCTAGTACACCACTGTAATTCCGTTGTTTCACTTACAAATTTTTTTGTTACTTTCTTAGTAGTTGCCATGGGGATTATAACCCACATCTGAAGACAATCTAGTTCAGATTAATAATGAAAGTCAGCCATGTTCAAAATTTTGCTCCTATTAAAGTACCATTTCCCCCTCCTTTGCCTTATTTTCATATAAATAATATCTTTATATAGTATAAGCCCCTCTGCTTTACATAATTGCATTTTAAATTAGATCAGAAAAGGGTTACAAAGAAAAATACATTAATACTGCCTATCTGTGCTTACCTATGTAGTTACCTTTAATTGTTTGCTTTTTTGTGTGTGTGGAGTTGTCTTTTCATTTCAGCCTGAAGAATTGGCTTTAGTCATTTCTCATAGGGCAGGTGCCATAAGCAGTGCTAAAGTTGTTTTGTTTTTGTTTTTTTTAAATTTGAGAATGATTTCTCCATGTTTTGAGGTGCTGCATGTGGAAGTCCTAGTCGCCTTTGTCTTCCTAGTGCCTTCTGACCTGCGTGGTTTCTGATGAGAAATCAGCTGTTAATGTTGAGACTCCCTTGTAAGCAATGAGCTGCTGCACTTGCTGCTCTCCAGATGCGTTGTCTTTCACAGTTTGACTATGAAGCTTTTAGGTGTGGGTACTTGAGTTTATTCTTCTTGGAATTCATTGATGGCAGATACATGGTTTTCGTTAAATTTGGGACGTTGAAGCCATGTCTTCAAATACTCTGTTCTTCTTGGACTCCTATTATTTGTATTATATTTGATGCTGTCCCACAAGTCTCTGGCACTGTTTCTTTTTTCTTATTTGCTTCTCAGAATGAATAATCGCAATTGACCTGTGTCAAGTTCTGTCTCCTACCCCTCAGTTAAGCTATTAATTCCTCTAGTGAACTTTTCACTTCAATTGTTGTATTTTAAATTCCAAAATTTATATTTGTCTCATTTTTAAAATTGCTCTCTCTTTGTTAGTACTCTCTGCTGAGAAAATACTCACATGCTTTAATTCTTGTGAACATGATTTCCTTTAGTTCTTTCAACGTATGCATAAAACCATTTAAGTCTTTGTCTGGTAAATCCAGTATCTGGAATTTTTCAAGGGCAGTTTCTCTTGAATGCTTTTTTCCTGTTTCTTTGCATGTTTTGTAATTTTGAGGGCTCCCCTTTCCCCCACAAAATGGGGCATTTAAAATTAAATAATGGCGGCAACTCTAGAAATCAGATTCTCCCTCTGTCTAGACTACCATAGAGCTAGGAAGACAGGGATAGGACTTAGAATACACGAAAAATGCCTCAAAGCTCACTTTTCTTACTGAGATTTGGGTGTTTTGATCAGCACTCCATGGGTTGTTGTAAGCCTTTTGTTATTTCCTAGAATTCTGAAAAAGTTGATTATGGCCATATTTGTTAGTGTTTTCATTGCTTTAATGCAGGTGCAAATAATCTCAAGGCTTTTTCCCTGAAATTGAAGTGCACCACGCCCCACTTCTTTTGGAGTACGCTCTGTGGAGTCATGGCTAGTCATTCCAGACTGTTCTGTTAAAGCAAGCCAGTGAAGTCAAGTGCAGTCTTCTTGTGGAAGCCGCTGGCAGATTTGATAATCGAGTACTGTTAGATTTGTTTCAATCAAAGTATGTCATTAGAGGTGACCGTTGCTCACAGATTTATGTGTGGGTGAGACCAAATATCCAGGGCATGACTCCCTTAAATGTTTGAAGGAGCTGAAGATGCACAGGGACCCTTAAACGACTTGGTCCCTGCTCAGTGTCTCACTGAATTTGTTAGTTTGACCAGCAGCTGGTCGCTATGTGTGTAAGACTGAGTGGTTACAGCTGGCCCTTCTTACCCCCAGATGACTTCCCCAAGCCGCAGATCATCACCCAGCCAGAGACAACCATGGCTGTGGTGGGGAAGGACATCCGGTTCACGTGCTCAGCAGCCAGCAGCAGCAGCTCCCCAATGACTTTTGCCTGGAAGAAGGACAACGAGGTCCTGCCCAACGCCGACATGGAGAACTTTGCCCACGTCCGAGCACAGGACGGGGAGCTGATGGAATACACCACCATCCTACACCTGCGACGTGTCACTTTCGGGCACGAGGGCCGCTACCAGTGCATCATCACTAATCACTTTGGCTCCACCTACTCACACAAGGCCAGACTCACAGTGCATGGTATGGAACGCTATCTTTTCACCCTGGAGCAAGAGTACCATGAGACAATGCTGGTGATCTTATGTAGAGATGATTGAGCAGGAGAAACACAGGCTTCATTGGGACAGTATTATTCTATCATACTATAATTGCCAGGTTTGTCCAAAACCAAAAACATACTTTGTAGGTTGAAACATTACTCAGTAGATTCTTTGTTTTATAGTGACATTTAAAATCCAGTTATGGTAAGTGAAACTGTAGGCCCAAGCCTTGGGTGTTCAACAATTTATCATCTTCCATAGACCAAGATGTCTCGTATCTGGATTCCAAGCTTGCCCTTATCCGGGGAAGCTGTTGCCCTCTGAGCACCTGGCACAGCTGGGGCCAGCCCAGGTGGCCATGCACCACCAAAGCTGCTGCGCATGCCAGCCTGAGAGCAGGATGATTCTGGGGATGTTTGACAAGTATTTTTTTACTCAGTAAAGACAGTGAGAGGTGGCTGTCTTCAGTCTATTTCTGCTGTTCAGGACTATTCTAAAACTTCTTGCTATACTGGAATTTAGAGGAAACATAGAGGTAAACAGCTTGAGTAGTTGACCACCCCACGCTAGTAACCTAACAAGATTTTCCTAAATACTAATTTCCAATTAGAATTTGGCAAGGGGTATTCAAATGGGCTAGAACCCCTGTGCTCCTTAAGCCCTCCAGACCACAAGAAAAGCACTTTCCACACTTTGGCTGGGCTGTCTTGGCGTAGTCTGAGGGATTCTTCATTGTTCTTATTAAAGCCCAGTGTAATGTCAGAGCCTCCCACCAAGGTAATCTTGATGAGAAGTGCAGTGATGCCTGATACGTGGCTGGATGCTTACCACTGTGTGTAGAAATATTTGGGTTCAGTGAGCTAGCTAAACACCCCGAGCCCACATGTGCACAATAATACAGCCCACGACCGCCTCCCTCAAGTGGGTTTCTTCAAGAGGGGAAAGTCATCCATTGGCTTTCCTCATAGGGAAGCGTGTCCTCCTTCCCTCCGTAATTGCATCTGGATGGAGCAACCATTTTGTTTCCCAGCATCCCTTCTGGTGGTTAATTAAGGCAGGCATCTGCCCCTCACATTTACTAGCACCTGTTTATAGACTGGCTACCATTTATAGAATGGAAGGAAAATGTTTCATAAAAAGCTTTACATTTGCAGGGTGCTAGTCACAGGTGTATGGCGAGAGACTGATGAGACGCACCATCTCTATCTGCACCAGGGAGAAGCTGGGCAGCACTGGGAAGCCCATCGTTTCTAGTTCAGAGTTTGCAGCAGTGGACCTAGGCAGATATTGGCACAGAGGGTGGTGAGGTGGTGAACAGACACCACAGGGAAGTGTTTGCCAGAGGGGTCTCCTAGCTTTATGCATCCAGCTTTCAAAAAACCCTGACCCCGTACACACATGTATCTTGCAGTGTTGCCGTCATTCACCAAGATGCCCCACGACATCGCCATCCGGACTGGCACCATGGCCCGCCTTGAATGTGCTGCCACCGGCCACCCTAACCCCCAGATTGCCTGGCAGAAGGATGGAGGCACAGATTTCCCTGCTGCCCGTGAGCGACGTATGCACGTCATGCCAGACGACGATGTGTTTTTCATCACCGATGTGAAAATAGATGACATGGGGGTTTACAGCTGTACCGCTCAGAACTCGGCCGGCTTCATTTCGGCAAATGCCACCCTGACTGTCTTAGGTTCGTCTGCTGATACACTCTGTGTGTGTGTGTGTGTCTGTGATTTAGCCTCAGTTTGTAAAACTGCAGAACCAGGAATGGATACATTACTAGTTTGTTTAAAAATGTGGGCTGCTTTCTAGAACTTACTTGAACGAGCAGGGTTTACCTCTTAAAAATAGCCAGTGAATGATGAGTCTTGATAGGGCTCAGGTAAAAAACACTCTGAGTGCCCTCTGAATTGGGCAGGATGGCGGTGGCCTTGACTGAGAACAAAGAATAGTAGGCTCTTTTGTGGCAGAAGGTCTTCTGAAAAGCTCGCTGCTTTGTTCAAAGGGCTCCTCTGGCATTGCACTGATGTATTGGATTGTCCTTTATCCCCAAGTCAAGGCAGATCTACAGCAACTGAGGCCCACGCAGTAACCCTAAGATATCCCCCATTCTTACAGAAACCCCCTTCTTGGCGGTGCCCTTGGAAGACCGTGTGGTATCCGTGGGAGAAACGGTGGCTTTCCAGTGCAAAGCAACTGGGAGCCCCCCACCCCGCATCACCTGGCTCAAGGGGGATCGCCCGCTGAGCCTCACCGAGCGACACCACTTCACCCCCGGGAATCAGCTGCTCGTTGTGCAGAATGTGGTCGCGGAGGACGCGGGCCGGTACACCTGCGAGATGTCCAATGCCCTGGGCACTGAGCGAGCCCACAGCCTGCTGAGCATCCTGCCCACCCCCAGCTGCAGGAAGGATGGGACCACGGTGGGCATCTTCACCATCGCTGTGGTGTGCAGCATCGTCCTGACGTCCCTGGTCTGGGTGTGCATCATCTACCAGACCCGGAAGAAGAGCGAGGAGTACAGCGTCACTAACACAGGTCGGCACTGCTGGCTGAGTGCGCGCTCGGGGGGTGGAAGAGCAGGGCCCTTCGTGTGGGAGGTCAGGTCCAGAGGCCTGTTACAGAATTTCAGTGTGTTTAGAATCCTAGGGCCTCTGGGACTCCGAAGCTGTTCTCGGTAGCTGAGGCTTGCTTTGTTCACACTGTTTTAACTTTCAGGCGTTTACCATCAAGGGGGAACACGCTCAAATATAAGTACAGCACAAATTGAGCAGTTTTCTGAGACATCTCTGGCACACGCTCTGTTGCTGTGCCCATTTCTTGGCTCCCATCAGTGTTCTGTGGACTCAGACTTTTTATACCTGGTATAGAGTAAGGCAAGGCAGGTTCTGGGAGAACCACTCCACTGGGGGCGCTCCACTCGGACTCTGGCCGGTTGCTATTGGGGATCCCATTTCGGGGACTGACAGTGGATACATGTCGTGTCTTATGTTAGACTGTGTTCTCTCCTTGCAGATGAAACCATTGTGCCTCCAGATGTCCCAAGCTACCTCTCGTCTCAGGGGACCCTTTCTGACCGACAGGAAGCAGTGGTCAGGACTGAGGGTGGCCATCAGGCCAATGGGCACATCGAAAGCAATGGTAAGGCCTCTACACCTGATGCAGTCATGTCCCCAAAAGGTAGGGGTAACGTCAGCGTCTTCCCAAGAGGTGCATGACATTAGAGCATGTCTGGAAGATGGTGTGACCATTGGCTCCTGCCGGGCTGTTGTGACCTTGCCTGTGCAAGTTCTGTGAGGTTTTAAAATCCTATACTCCAGGAAGAAACTATTAGGCTTCACACTCCTAGTCAGGATGGGGGGGGGGGGGGGGGGGCGCGGGTGCCTTAAATAAGAGCTGCATTCCTTGAGCAGGGGACGTGCCTGCCTGGTCCCAGACCAGAAAACTCTCTCAAGGTGGAGCTACTGCAGTGGGGGAGACTGAGCACTTCTTAGGGCAAGTTTATTTCCCTAAGAATTGCTCACTGACATGGCTCTGAATGCGGAAAGGCCTACCTGGGAGGTGCTATTATAAAAGCCCTGCTGGATCTCTTGGTATTAACCCAGACAGCTCCTCTAGAGAACATTGAGTAGCAGCTTTGCCCACACTTTCCATCAGACTTACTGGGAAGTGCGAAGCTTGGAGTTGATAATTGTGTGGGAATGTGTTGCAGGTGTTTGTCCCAGAGATGCAAGCCTCTTCCCAGAGGTGGACGCGCACGGCATTACCTGCAGGCAGTCCAAGCTCTGTGTTGGATTTAACAAGGAAGCACATAAAGTGATGGAGAAAGTCGATGGGACACCTGGGCCACAGAAGACGGGTATGAGATGCTTTTCTCAAGAAAAGGATTTTGTTCTTAAAGTGTGGGCTGACGTAGTACAGGAGCGAGAGAGACACCAGTGAGCTGAGACTGTCTTAGAATTTGGCCCTTTATAAACAGGAAGCTCTGGGCTGTCTCTTTGGAGTCTAGGGTACCCCTTAAATCAATCTCTGGAATGGTGGGCAACGTCCAGAGAAAAGTACCTCTGCAACAAGATTATTTTGAGGCTAACTTTCTAATTGTTCAGAAGATTCTTGACACTGTCTGGTACTTTAGTTTAATCAGACTGTTCTGATTTAAATGATCTAATCATGGAAGACCCCATGCTGCATTAACAGCCTGCTCGGAACCCAGTCTTTTTCTGAGAACATACTTGGGCAAGAGTTGAAGGCAGGGACTCCAGACAGCTGTGGTCTCAGCCTGTTCTGGGTGGGGGACGGGACTGCCGTGAATGCGGTTCTAAGCCGTCCCATACCGTCCACAGAGCACGGCGGCCCGGCCAAAGGTACCGACTGCACCATGGACGCAGACAGTTACCCCAAGGAACAAGCCTGCTGTCCTCAGCTGGTGGCCAGAGACAGTGCACAGCCGGGTGCAGCGAGCACCCTGGAGCCCAGTCGGCGAGTCCAAGAACAAACTTCACATCGTGCAGGCTGTGGGACTGCGGGTGGTTGCCAGGCTGACTCTAGGGGGGGCCTCTACCCCAGTAACCACGACAGAATGCTGACATCTTTGAAGCAGCAGCCAGTGGTGCCACTGGATGGGAAAGGTAATTTTTCAGTCTCCTGAGACACGGCCTCCACGGGGGAGCCCCCAGAGGGCGGGGCTGCAGGGTCTGATGTGCCCTCTCTTCTCCACAGGGGCCTCCGCTCGGACTTTAGCAAGGGGGTGTGAGCCGGACTCCATGGACCTCCTGCCCTCCTGTATATTAACTCCGGGCAGTTCTCAGCTCACAGAGCCCACCTCGGGTTTCCCCGATGCCCCCAGTGAAGGCCAGCACCTGCTTCTCGCCAATGGACACCTCCCCACCGCATGTGACTCCAACCCCGAGTCCGCACCACTGACAGGACAGCTCCCCGGGAAACGGAATGTGCCACTGCTGTTTGCACCGAAAGTCTAGGCTTTGTCTACCTCAGCTCTTGTCGTGTCGGTCCCTACAGGAAAGAGGTAGGAGAGGCTGTGAGGAAGCTTGGCTTCAAGCGTCACTGATGTGTATATAGTTTTAACTTCCATGTGGAGTATCAGTAGTTTAAAGGACTTACAGCTGAAGCACAGAAATGCAAGAGGCTATTGTGTAAAAAAAAAAAAGGCAGAAAAGTATTTGATATGGTTGTACATAAGAGTTTTCAGAGATTTCATATATATTATATATCTTTTACAGAGGCTATTTTAATCTTTAGTGCATGGTTAACAGAAAAAAATCGTCCAGTTTTGACTATTATTTTTCCATATCAGGTTGCTGTTTAATTTTGGAGCAGGGGGTAAGTTCTGGTGCCTTAATGCATGGATGGAATTTATAGAAGCTGAAAACCACATTTGTTCCCAGCATTGGGGAGGGACAAGGACGGACGGAAAGTGGGTGCCTGCTCTCGGCTTCTCAGGGCCCACCCGAGGGCGCCCCCGCAGCGATTTCCTGTGCACGGGCCCCACGTGGGTGCTCTTGAAACAAACCTCCCTGAGGAGCCCAGAGGTGTGGTTGTCACGTACCTTTGTAGTGAATGACTTTTTCTCAGATGTTTAAATGCTTTAACAAGCAGAAGGGGGGTGGTTACTCTGCCACGAGCAGTTGGTCCAAGCCATTAAGCACTGCCGCTCTTCCTTCTTTGCATCTCATTTTATGATAAAAGCAAATGTCTTTGTCATTTGAGGCTTTTTACTAGATGGAGGCTGCTGGTGTTGGTACCTGTGGATTTTTCAATAGCAATGTTTTAATTCTGCCAATATAATTCCCTTGGCCTGGGGGAGAGGACAGAATCTGGGCCACTTATCTCTGAGGATCTGGAGCAGCCTGTCCACGTCCTTCCCTTGTAGACGGCCAGGCTCAGACTGTACAACTCCTTCTGGATCTATTTGCACTTTTGAGATCTAGAGCTAACCAGCTTGTGAGTGCCAATGTCTGTTTCAGGAAAAAGTATACTAAAACAGGAAATGAATTTCTTTAGTCAAAGAGCTGAACGTAGGTGTGGACAAAAAAAATGGTTACTTACCTATGTTAAATTTTACTGTCAAATGTCATCACTATCATAAAAGGTAAGCAGTTTAGAATTTTGTTCTCAACAGTTCAATGTTACTTCCACAAAATATGTGAATTTGCTGCTTCTGAGAGGCAATGTGAAAGAGGAAGTATTACTTTTATGTACAAAGTTATTTATTTATAGAAATTTTGGTACAATGTACATTGAAAAACATAAAATATTGAAGTGTCTAACAAATGGCATTCAAGTGTCTTTAATAAAACTTCATTTATAAATGTTAAGAGTGTGTCTGGGATCATTCATCTGTATTAACCAGCATGGTGTCATTCTGCCTTAATTACCTTTTTCCCCAAAAAAAGGGGGGGGAATTGGGCAAAGCGAATCTATATTGCTCCAGGGAAGACACGACAACACTAGATTCCTGAGATTTCTCTCTAAATTTTAACACCTGGAGCTTATTAGTCAAGCTCTAAAATCGTAACCTTCCCATTTCACCCCTTTGATTGCCAGCATTGAGCTGAAAACTCCAGGCAACAAATCTTTCCAGTTAGGAATGAATCAACACTGTTTCCGACCCTGGCCCTTCCTTGCGGGCTGTGGAGAACAGTGGGTGCCACTCATTTCCTCAGAGGGCCTGCCACGCCCTCCTGCCCAGAGGCGAGCGGGCCACCTTGAGCTGCAGCCACCCTCTCTCTCCCACACCACATGGGCTGCTGGACACGTCTCTGTAAAATCCAATTGTGTTTTTATAGTTGCAATGTGAGGGTAATTAAAAACAGCAGTCTGGTTACCCAACAAGAATGTATACTATGCACCTGTAGTTCAGTTTTTAAACAAAACTATAAGCTTACACAATAGGAATTAACCCAGGGGAGAAACGCCCACCCACATACACAACTTTTCCCCCAATTCTACTACGTGTTCCCAGTCTAGCCAGTCTTTAAACTTAGAACCATCTCTGCCTTCCGCTGAATGCATTAGCCGGGGCAGGAAATGAGAGATCAACTGTAGATCAAATGAAAGCTCTGCAGGGCCTGGACTCAGCATTACCAAACGTATTTATTAACAGGTTCTGAGAAAATGGTTCAAAAGTGCCTCTGCGGCCATCGTTTTAACTTTCTGGCAATAGGCTGATGACATCATTCCAGCCGGCAACATGGAAGACGCATTCTCTATGTTACGATCTTAGCAGAACTGGCTTTCTGCCTGTATGCTGTGGCTCAGATGGCCAAGCAGCTGCGCACCGGAAGGAGACAGTTCTCACGGCAGTCACCTTTTTTGAAAGAAATGGATGTGGGGCCATCGCTGATTCACGAACCTTCTGTGCCAAGCTCCAACAGCAAGCTTCGAGTTTGGTCGTAAGCACCCAGAAAGATGAAACCTCCCAGACTGATGGCTGCCACGCGAGGGAAGACACCTGCAAATAATCTAGGGGGAGAGATTTCAATTTTGTGTGTGTAAAAAAAAGGTTAAATTCCAACACCTCCAGCTTGCTCAACTCAACACACCATGCTCATTAAAGCCCACAAAGCACTTGCAATGCGCTTTTTCCTTTCAGAATGGCGCGAGGTTACATTCCCAAGTGGACTTGTTTAAGTTTGAGCCCAGCTGTTGGCCAGAGTGTCTGAATACCAAAGGGCTTACTTGGGAGCGCTCACAATTCAGTAATTAGTCAAATAGTAACTGTCTCCACCACAGCTTAAAACTTTTCGGACCATTTTTGTCTTTTAGAGATAATGAGATCCACTTTTTAGAAGAGTCAGAGGGCTGACTTCTGGGGGGTGCTGGAGGTGGGTCCTTCCTGGAACCAGAAAGCGGCTTCTGGGTCTTGCCGGCTCCGCTGCTCCTCTCTAGGACTCAGTCGCGCTCTGTCCCACCCACAAAGGTGACGCCACACCAGGAAAGAGAATTTCTGTGCATCACCCGCTGGCTTTGCCCTCTCGTGAAGGACAAGAAAGGCCAAAGAGGCCATAGCAGGAAGGGAGCGGCACCTCCTCATGTTCTGTCCCCAGCACCAGAGGCCAGTCACTGTCAAAGGTACAAGTTGCTACTGGGGATATGAATTCTGGATTTGTTCTTTCAACACCCGCCCACAGCTACGTCACAGGTCTTTAGTCAAAAATGTTCCTCATGCCATTGCTAATAAAGCCCCGAGCTTGTATAATAGGACTGTTAGACAAACACAGCAGGGACGGGCCCTAAACTCCCTGGAGTGTGGCTTCCAGCACACATTCCCTGCCTATATTTCTCCAACAATTGAAGCATTTTTTAACCAGGATTATCACTTTTGTAAGCACAAAAACCAAATTATAAAATTAGAAGTAGATTTTCTAGTGAAATGACTTTGGATCGGGTCTAGGGAAGAAAACCAAAAATGGTCAAGCTATGCCAACAGTACTGTGTGTACCTTGAAGGTACGAGGAGAACCTCCATGACAAGTTCCAAATGATGGCTTGCCAAGATGGGGCTGGAAGTTCCTGCTGCCTAGTTCAGGCCACTGGCTGCGTTCTTCCTGAACTGTAGGGAGAGCTCAGCCGGCCTCCCCGCTGGATGTAGCACTCAGCACTTCTGAGGAAAATGAGGGACTTCAGAGTAGATTTGTGGGGCTCTTCGTTAGCTAAGGATCTAATTCATTAAGTAAAACTATATGTGAAATGAGAACCTCTTTGACTTGTCCAGAAATAACCATGAAAATTCTATAAAAGACCAAAATACGCTTGAAAGAAGAAGGTTGTTTGGCTTAGCATAGTGCTCATTGTTCTAGTATGAGGTGGTCGGTGAGTGCAAGAAACTTTTAAGCTAGCACCTTGAGGCCACTGTGTCCTTCTGGCCTGAAAACGTATTAACCTCCCTGCCCTGCCCTGCCAAGAGAAGGGTGCTGGAAGAGAAGCTGAACAGGGCAAGACTACGTTGGCCATGAAACTCTTCCCTCCCTTGCTATCCTACTTATTTCTAAAGCCAGTTCAGCTTTTGCTGCTAATGAGCTTAGCTGCTCCTGGCAACAGGCAGATGGAAGCAGTTTATGGTTTCACTAAATGACAATTGAATCTATTAGCATAATTACAGCCTTAAAGTAGCGTAATTTGTACAGTGCACACCCCAACCAAACTCAGGAGGCCGAGACTTGCAAGGAGAGCGGGGCTGTGTTCTAGTGACCACAGATCAAAGGCAGGAACAAAAGCAAAGCATATAGCATCATGCCCAGTACCCGGGGACGCTTGTGGTAGGAGCGGTTATTATATAAAGGACACTAGCAAGACAGACAAAAAGCAGGTTGAATGACAGAAGAAAAAGGAGCAGCGCAAGGTAGGCAGGCTTCCCATCTGCTTTCTGGCTCTTGGACTGAATGGGCACGTGGTATTTTTATTTTGGGGAAACTAGTCTGCCCTAAAGCACATATTCCAAATATGTAACCAAACATATGGGCACATATGTGGGCTTCCCTACGGGAACCAACACACAGATGCAAAGCGTCATCACTTTAATGTGCCCTGAGAGATCAGTACCACCAGCCGCCAGGCACCCGAGGCAGGTATGTTCAGGGTCCACGGAAGGACAGCAGGGCTTTTGCACAGAAATGAACAGAGATGGGGAGATACACCCTTGGGGCTGAGGCTGCCTGGAACCACGGCTCAGAACAGTTGCCCCACCTTTGCAGGATCTTTTGCTTGCTTTTTATTAAGTTCTTGTCAAATTATTTATCTTTTATCATATTAAGAGAAGCAAGAAACACTGTCAGGTCTTAAGAAATTGGCTGCCTCAAATACTCTGCTAAGGACCACTCTATTAATAAGAGCCCAAGCCTAAAGAAGATTCCAGAAGATAAGCAAAAGTGCAGTTTACTTTTTTAAGGCTGACAGTGGTGACAGAGACAGGCCCTGGGAATATTTATGACACATCTCCTGCACCTACAATTTTGGCACTGCTGAGTTACAGAGCAACAAGTACACACCACAGACGGGATAGGGAAGACTTAGTTTCCAACATCTACTCAAGGAAACTGCTTTTTTACAAGCTCTTGATGGTCACGGTTTTGCTGATTATAGGATCCCCACATATCACTACTTTCTCAGGAAAGGCAGAGGCTACAGCTCCATACCAGTGCAGGTTTTGACCAGTAGTTGCCATGGGATATGACATGCACTGTAGCAAATCAAGTCGAATTTGGCAATTTGACCTTATGCTCTAAAAAAAAAAAACTTCCAATTCATTGTTGAAAACAAAAGGAATCTTTTACCTGCTGCTAAGTTACTTTAGAGCTCATTTTTTCCCACACCATTTCCTTGTTCCAATGTGGAATCAGTGTCTAATGTGCCTCTGCTACGAGCAGCCAACTTCTTATTTCCTCACTACAAAGCAATGGCTGCCTGCTGGTGGACAAGCCAGGGCTCTGTCTTTCCCACCACAATGTTCCTTTCTGTTAAACCCAGTCCTGGTCCTTCTTCAGGCAACCAGCATGAGTCCATCAGAAGCATCACATTCAACAGAACCATGCAACATTACCTATTTTTCAACTCCTAGTTGAAAATTCTGAATAGAAGACAAGGCTGTTGTGCAAAATCTTACCTGGGGACTGACCAACCTGCTTCCTATTCCCCAGACTCTCAAGAACTGAAATAAAAATCTGCCAAGCATGTACAAAATGACAATCAAATAATAACCAATACCACCGGGATGAGGAGGTGGCAACACTGGGCCTCTGCTGATCACACCAGCCAAACCCTCAGCTGCTCACTCCTACCCTCTCAGGAGGAGGCTGCTGCTTTGCTCACAGCAAAATCTCAGTAGATGATTCACTGGTAGGAAAATTGTAATTTCACGTATCTGTACCGAGCCCAACATTTAAACAGCTTCAGACAGCAGAGTTTTATGTTGTCAAAGCAATGTTGAAATAACAATTCAAAGAGAGCATTTTAAGATATAATGTTAGGAAATTGGAGGCACTTCATTGAGTGAGATGTCCTGCACTACGGTAATTTGTTAGTAGTAACAAAAGTAATTTGTTAGTAATAACTACATGGACCCCAGACCACAAATGCCTTCTTGAAACAGTGCTCCCTTGCATCCCTTCACTCCATAACCGGAAGCCAGTTCTATCCCTGCTGCCACCCTAGAACCTGGCAGGGCCACACATGTGGATGCCACCAAACAGCAAGAGGCACAAGCTGGGGTCATGTGGTGAGAACACGTCAGCAACTGGATTATGTGGAAGACCATCAAATACAATGTTTTGCACAAAATACACAGAGACCCCAACCAGCACATAAGCGGAAGAAAGGAAGCTGTTCACCCACTGACAGGCTAGAGGAGGTGCAGGCGGGAGGCAGCTGTGTGCTCCTCCTGTCCTTACCCCGCTGGCCCCTGAGTCCGCCAGACCCCACGCAGGGCAGAGAGCACGTTTCCACTAGCAGTGCCGGAACCAGCCTGCAGGACAAGATGAGAAAAATCCGTTATCTGGTAAGACTGTCAACTCAGCAGCTCAGACACGCTCACGTGCGTGGGTGGCTCACTACCACCCTCATCTAGGACACAGTTTCAAATAGACCTGGGGGTTTCTTGAGAATCAGATTCCTGCATGTGGGGAGCCCAGAGCCCTTATTCAGACCCTCGGGGGAGGCACCCACTCAGCCACTGCCACAGAGTGGCAGCTTTTCTAGCTTATTGCTCTCAACATCAAACTACGAGCAACACTTACCCAGTTAATTCACACAACTATTTAACAGGAAGAAACTGAAAGCAATTTTAATCTGAGAAGGATAGGGACAGTATAAAAGGTATAATTATGAAAGATACCGAGGTAGCTCAAAAGCATACTTAAGAAAAAGTACCATGTTCAGTTTAAAACATGACTGGCATTCTTAGGTTAGGCCCCGTGAGGCTGCACACTGGAGTTCCGCCCTCACTGTCTTCCACGAGAGTGTGACTTATTTTTTAATCTTCATCTACGATAAGCCTCCGTATAGTGTCAATCTAGTTTTCTAAAAATATTTTTTAACAATCTTCTTTTAAAATTATTTATTAACATACTTTTAAACAATGTTTGAGGCAATTCTAACCAATGTCCTAATTCATCCAATGAGGGCTAAGCATGACCTAAGCTTAGAGCTTCAAGCTTACGAGCTACATGGCAGGAAGCAAGTCACCTCTCTGAGCCTCTGGTCTGTCACCAATAGAGATAGAGGTTATTTGACAATAGTAGGGCCCTACTGGCTTCCATAATGTAGGAGGGTAGGATTGTGAAAAGGTAAAATGCTATGCAAGGCATTGCTCCCAGCAATTGTGGCTACTCTCTTGTCAAAGACAGTTTCATTAGTGGCTCAACAGGCAGCTAACAGGTAAGTTACCAATACCAATTTCATTCACTTTATACACATATACAGCCCTAGTGTGACTGGATATAAACATCTGATGTCTACATCACATTATTTTACTACTTACCTTTGCCAACATGATTCTTGTTTTTGCTACGTCCAGAGGCGTGGTGACTGCAGCTGCAAATCCACCTGTGCATATAAAAATACCCGACACACAAGTGAGGTATTGTTTACTGTATTACATGGTATTTTATAATAACTCGTAATTTTGCCAAGATAACTTGTTCATCATTCTGTCCCCGATTCAAAAATCTTTGCCCACATGCTTCATTGCTTTTGTAGTGATGTTGAACTGCATATAAAAGATGTGACAAGATAACGTTTTATCCAAGGAGGTAAAAACAGCAAGCCCCCCACAATATATCTTGCCATTCTGGGGAGCAGCAAACAAAACTGTGTGTACACGGCATATGCCTCTATGGCCAGACACCCTGAGTACTAGGTGAGCTGCCGCAGGGACTCTCAGAGGGCCTCGCCTTCCTCTAATGGGCCAGTGGTCTCTTATCTACTCCAAAATGTTCTGAGGCATAACAGACAAGTAAGACCTTGTATATCACTGGGGTACACAGGGATTCTTCAAGGGAAAAGAAACAAATTTCCTGTATTTCACAGGCTTCCAATACTGGGTCCACTAGAGCAATGCCCTTTCTTTTCTTTTTTTAAGATTTATTTATGCATACCAGACCTGGGGTACATGCCAGAGATGTGGGAGGTGAGAGAATTCACCAGAGACAGAGTGGGGAACAGAACAGGCAGATCCACTGAAATACACTGCTGAGGGGAACAGCGGGCGAGACAGGAGAGGTCTGCTGCGCCATGTGGGTTGCTCCCTGGCCAGCCAGGGATCGAATTCGTGCTGCAGAGGCTGAGGATTGCTTCATAGTGCGGTGCTTCACCCCTTGCGCCACCAGGGAGGCCCAGCAATGCCATTTCTAATCTCCTTTCTACATCTTGTTGGAATCTGTCTTGTTTCAACAGGTGCTCTTCTTCCTTATCTTCTCTCTCATGTACCCTTAATTTAAATACTATGACTACCAAACTGATTTCTTTTATCCAGAAATTTTAAGGAGTCCCTACATATGTGGACAGAGGAATTGGAGGTCTTTAAAAAAAAAAAAAAACAACATACAGTGTCAATATTCTAATTAATAAAATACAAAGGTATATTTACAATCTCAAGAGGCTCTAAGGAGATAGAAAAACACCCCAAAACTTCAGCCTCCATGAACAGGGTGAAATGGGCAGTTTTAAAGGGCTGAACAGAATGCAGTATGCTCAGGATACTCCAGAAATAGCACACCTCTCCCCCTCAGCTTTGTGGAGTGTTGCCAAGAAGGTCATTTGATCCATATATGTTGAACTGCATATAAAAGATGAGACAAGATAACATTTTATCCAAGGAGGTAAAAACAGCAAGCCCCCACAATATATCTTGCTATTCTGGGGAACAGCAAACAAAACTGTGTGTACATGGCAGATGCCTCTATGGCTTCAGCAGCTTTCTAAATAGGCTGCTGAAAAAAGATCATTACACTGGACCTCCTCCATCTGGTGACATGCTCTGGCTTTGAGAGATGTACCCCTTTATGTCCCAGCTGTACTCACCCACGAAGTACGCACACCTCGGGCTGAAGACTATTGATTAAAATGAGTGTTAGAGACCCCGTGGTTTCCGTCCCTTTTGGTCCATATGTCAAATGCTTTCCTCTAGATCCAAAAGTTGCCTGAAACTCAGAGACTTGCTCAACTTTGGGTATTTTAAGAATTGCGGACCCAGTCCTGATATTCTCTCAATTGTTTTGAGCCATATATTCCTAAAGGAATGTATATATTTTAAAGAAAGGGGTCCGTCAGAAAAACAGATGAAACTGAGGTATCCAGGGGGTAAGGGGACAGGGGTTAAAACCGGGGAGGCGAGAGCACAAGGGACTATGGTGCTGGGTCACAGGTGCTGCGGTGGTGAGAGAACTACAGGGCCTATGGCTAAGAGAAGAAGCCAAACACTACAAACATCAACAACGATGCAGGAAGAGCAGTACTTCATTTTAAAACATAAAAAAAGGGGGTTCAGGAAGGGCTTCGCATCCTTTAAAAAAATTCACCCTAATGAAAGAAGAGAGAGGGCAGGAAAGGCCAACGTACCTGTGACTGTCCCAAACTTCCCTCCCCAATCCTTATATTTGCTTTTGTTTCCCTTACTGGCTCCAAGTGGCTCCCTAAGGGTCCAGCTTAAAAGAGCCCTTCCATACACCAAGACTTAAATCCCTGCTCTACTAGCTGACTGGCATTAGGTCAATAATTATTTCTCTGATTGAAACGCCCCAAACCACAGGTACAATTAAGTCCTCAATGTTGTCAATAGGTTCATGGAAAATGATTTTCAGGAAACAACATATCACAAAAGCAAGTCTTCAAATACCACCCTTTGTCCCCTAATTCAGAGTCCACCAGGATTGTTTTCTTCTCATAGCCGTTATGGTCAAATGATGATATTGAAGGACCTAATGTGCTTTTATTTCTCCCATTTTAGTTAACAACACTAAAGCTCAAAGAGGTTAAGTAACTCATAGATTTTAATGCACAACTGAAACTTTGATGTATGTGACGCTAGGATCTAAGTCCTTGGCCACTGTGATTTCTAGTGTTCGCCAAAAGTAATGTTCTTTCACTACATAATGACTTTGATATACACTGAGATGAAATCTGTCCCTTCGCTAAAATTCAAAGTGCACATACCATTTTCTTATTTGAAAATGTTCACCATTTGTGCGAAGTCAACTAAAATGATTGGAAAGTTGACAAAGACATCATTTGTCCTGTCTGATGACTCAAGCGTTCCTGAGTTCCTACACTAAAAGGTTTTTGTCTTCTTTGGGCCTCCCCTGGTGGTGCAGGAGGTTGAGCGCAGCACTGTGAAGCTGTCCACAGCCTCTGTAGCACCAGCTCGATCCTGGCTGGCTAGCAAGGGTCCCACATGGCGCGGCAGACCTCTCCTGTCGCACCCGCTGCTCCCCTCAGCAGTGTATTTCGTCAGCCTACCTGTTCTGTTCCCCGCTCTGTCTCTGGTGAATCCTCTCACCCTGCCACGAATCTGGCCTGTACCCCGGTTCTTGTATAAAAAAACAAATCTTTAAAAAAAAGTTTTTGTCTTCTACCAAATTTGGATACTACAATCAAGCTTTTGGCCATTAGCAGTTCACTATTCCTTTTTTGAGGATGCCTGCCAATATCCTCTTAAGACATTTCCTTCATGAAAGTAGTATGATTAAAAGTCAAAGACAAAAACATATGTTAAATAGGTCCTAATTTTACTTTCAGGATAGAACTGTATTTTATGAAAGTTGTTAACAAAGGTAATTTGGATGTCTTCAAATATCAAAGATTGCTTTAATTGACAGACCTCACAATGTTTTTTATGAGGCCATAAGAATGACTTGTGAAGGTCATGGACTCAAATAAGTGGTCATAGTGGGAGGGGGCAGAGGACCTGTACTTTCAGTTAAAATGTAGTAATTTTCTATATTTTACTTGGGGGAACCGTAAACTGCTGATAATAAATATAAGGAACATGCTAACAGATTAGACAGGAAATAATTATTTGGTACAGCCACTGTAGTCTGGTTTACTACTCAAATCACACATGCAACAATCTTCTGTGGACTTCACTAGAGTCGGGCATGAACTGTTAGGCTAACTACTTTCAAGGACCAGCTTCAGGGAAAGCTAGGCTTTATAATGAAAAGATATCTCAAGTATTTTTAGGGAACAAATGCAGGTTCTTCACCCTCTCCAGATAAAGGGGCCCCCTTTCTACAATAGGCCTGCAGCAGTCACCTCCACGCAGCAGCTGTGATCGCGGTGGGGGCAGCCGAGGGTAGTGCTGCCACTTGTCCCTCCGGGGCCTCCCTCCCCTGACTGGCCTAGGAGTAAGGGGAGCACCTTCATGTGCCTCTTTGCATGATTTCCAAACAAGCATCCAAACTCGGGAGAGACTCAACAACAGATATGTTTCAAAGATAGTGCCAAACTTGCTCCTTTGTTGCCCAGATAATCCTTTACCGTCTTTCCCTTATTCTCTCTCCCTCTCTTCTCTGAGAGAATGTAAGTAGGTGTTTATTATGAGAAACTGATCAGAAAACACTCGATAGCAAATATCACTCAAGTAGTAAATGTCATCATTACTTAGACTCAATTATGGTTTTCTGTTTAGAAGTTGACTTGAAGTGAGGAAGTTGGCAAAGTTGGTTTTTTTCCCTCTGAGTTTAACCTCTGACCAGAAGCCAAGGGAATTTCTGAGTATGACAAGCCCTCAACACCTCCAATCTCAAGGGACATTTTTGGGTATTTGTGCCAAGTAGTTTATAAAACAAGCATGGGCAAGGAAGCGTGCCAAGGATGGCACTGGGAGAGGTCCATCGACAATAATTTAACCAGTTTAAACTTGGAAACACACACAGGGATGAGAAAACGGATTTCTGATTTAATAACAAGTTTTATCACTGTCTTTCTGGTCATGTAAGGTTAAAGAGTCTGAAAGAATAACAGGAAAGCATGTCAGGTTTTAATGGAGTTGCCCAAGAAGGCATCATTGTTCACTTCCCTATACTGTGTAATACACAGTGTCGCAACAAACTCTGACAGCACATCATCACTTCTTCATATTTGGACTCTTTTCAAATGATGTTTATCTTTTAGAAAGATTTTTAAATAGTAGCTTGGTTCCTTAGGATCTTATGCTAGATGTATATGGATCTATTAACAACAGCCTTTTTTTTTTTGGTGGACCTTGGATAAACTCCATCATGTATCAGAACCACAGCTAAAAAATCAGACGTCTGCATTGGAGGAAAGTTAAAAACTACAAGCCATTAGGGAAGAGGATTATATGTAGAGACTTTATTAATATATTATTCTTTCAGTGCAAATGAGAATATGAATTATTGTGATAATGAGAGCTTTTCATTTTCTGGGTGTTAATTGTTTTTGTTGAAATAGTAACAATTCCTTACCTCTGTTTGGTTTTATAGATTACCAAATGCCAACACCTACATTATCTCACCTATCCTTGAGGTAATCCCTTAAGGTACAGTTAAGAATACTGGTGCTCAGGAAGGCCCCATTTGCAAGGAAATCGTTGAATTAACTACTTAAGGAATGGGACCAGAAAATAATACTTGTCGTTGGCCTTCCTTGCCCACAATGACTGAATTTCCATAATTCTCACTTTCCCCGGGGCCCAGGAGGGAGTCGACAAAAATGTACATTTCCCTTCAGGATTGGGGACAAGGACTCCTGACCTCTGGAAAATGAATCAGGACCACCTCCTCATTTAGCACAGCTAATGACCACATGTCCAGTGGAAACAATAAGCTGTCATAATCAATTTGAGCTGGCTTCATTTCTAGAAACATGATTCTTATTTTTGATTATCAATTCTGTAAGTCCAGTGGACCAATTATTAATAAAAGAATTCTATTAAATGTTTTCTGCTTACTTAATCACTGCAACAACAAAAAGCCAGCCCAACAACCACTAAACAAATTGGAAAAGAATTGTTTTTAAATCAAGTCAACATCCTAAACCTGTTATCTGTCAGTTTGTCAGTTTCACATCTAATCTGGGAGTTTACAATCTTCTGACAAATCCTTACTTTATTTCAACCGTAATTCTAATTCACCTTTATTTGCAACAATAAAGTCTATTTCACTCTTAGGCTATAAAACCTATTATTCATTAAATTCTTGAAAGCATCTGCATTCTCATGAAACCTCACTGGAAAATTCATATGACTTAGTGATGGATAACACACTATTGCATAGTGTCACTTTGCTCTTGGTTTAATGTCCAGAAAGTGCCCAGATGTTTCAATCTCCATCTTTTCTACACAGAGCAGTTCAACCCTCAGTGAGCTGTGGAGCAGCCTCTGCTCTCCTAACACTAGTTAATCTGCAACGCTGTCAAACATGTCACACGAACCGTGAATCATTGCCTTCTGCAGAAATTGCTTAAAGCCCCAGAGCACTGCTCACGGCAGACAGCTGCACAGAGCACCCTGCACCCACAGCCAGCCTCTTCCCACAGAGGACTTTATAAATCATCTTTAAGATAATCCTAGGGCCTGAGTGAACGCTTCAATAAAGATAAAAAGAAAAAGAAAAATTTGTCAAAAACAAATTGGTTGTCTTTCAAGCAGACACCTTTTCACCAGTTTTTTTTTTTTTTTTTCCTAAGACACCCTTTTCTCAAGCAACTAGGGGAACTCTCTTCATCTAAACAATCTGGAATTTCTAAAGAATGTTGTTTTTGCATAGTTAATATTTTCACATTTTTCTCCCCCTCTTTGGTCTTTCCCAGTATAATCTAATCCTTTGCACCTGCAAAAGCTCCACAGACTGCTGACTGCCAAGAATCCACCACACGATCCTGCCTCCAGGACCAGAGGGCCTGTGTTTATGGAGAAAGAAAAATACAAGTTATTAAATATTTGAATTTATCGGAACCTCCTGTGGGTTAGCTCTGGGGATGGGAACTTAAGTGAGAAGCTATTTTGAGGACATTCCTCACTGATGACATAAGTGATTTTCCCAAGGACTTAAGTGCTTTCTAAAATAAGAGAAACGAGGGTGATAGCTGCATTCGTGTGCTCAAAGGAAACAAGTGTCAGGGACAGTATGTGATATACACACACTTGTGTACACATTTGTGTGCATATGCGTACGGATTAAAATAAAGGTATACTTTTAAGATAACGTAACATGTTAAATATTTCTCATATAATTCTTTGCATATAAATACCATACTTTACAAATTACTCCAGAGTGGTGTACTCCAAATGCCTCAGTTCTTTTTTCAGTCATTTCCCATATTGAACATGTTTGAAGGATGCTACTTCTATTAATTGTTAAGCTAAATTTGGACAAAAGCACTTTCTGTACTGTTCCTATAACATGTTGAGGATCACACAAATAAACACCCGTGCTGAGTTTCAAACTAGGAAAAGAATGGCAGAGACACACTGCCATGCTCACTGAGAACATGTGACCTTGTAGATCATAGGTGCAGTCACGTCAATTGGTAAACAGTGCTCTGACAGGCGCAGGGCTAAGCTCTGAATATACACAACACAGTTCTCACAACCACCCCAAAAAGCTGCCTCCTATTATTATCCACATTTTTACTAGGCTTTCTAATAGCAGAGAGCGCCTGTATTCTCGTTTTTCTTTAGTTTTACTGAAGTATAATTGATATTCAATCAACTATACACATTATAATATGCAATTTGCTAAATACTGCCACAGACATGCATAAGCACACACCCACCACTGTAATAAGATAGTGATCAGAGGAGATCCCCCCAATTCTGCCCTTCCTCACCACTTCCTAAACAATCTGATCTGTCATTCTAGCTTGCTTCCTTTTTCTAGATTTTTATATAAAAGTAATCATGTTAATTTTTTAACCTGGCTCTTTTCCTTTAGAATGATTGTATGATTCATCTATGTTATTGTACATATCTAGAGTCCATTCCTATTTAATTGCTAAGTAGTATTCCAGTGTATGGACATATCATGGTGTGTTTATATATATTACCTGTTTATGGACATTTGGGATTTTTCCAATTTTTGACTATTAAAAATAAAGCTGCTATGAATATTTGTATCCAAGTCTTTACAAGGACACATGCTTTCATTTCTCTTGGGAAATACCTGGAAGTAAAACAGCTAGATCACATGGTAGATATACATTTAACTTTTTAAAAAACTACCAAACTATTTTCTAAAGTGTGCCATTTTATATTCCCAACAGTTTCAGTTTCTCTACATCCTCCCTACCACTCGGAACTGTCAGTATTTTTTAATTTTCACCACTCTAATAGGTAGGTAGATAGTATTTCACTGTTTTTTCAATTTGTTTTTCCCTAGCAATTAATAATGTTGAGTCTCTTTCCATAAGTTTCTTTGCCACTCCTATACCTTCTGTGAAGTGTCTGCTATATAATCCATAGATTCACCATTTACTGAGTACCTACTAGGTGTCAGATACTGCAGAGTCAAGAAAAAAGAAACATCAGTCCTTAGGGCTAACATTTGAGAAGGGGATAGTGGTTGTAGAAGAGTATCATAAGAGGGTCTCCCTGGTGGCTCAAGGGGGTGGGCACCACACTATGAAGTAGTCTGCAGCCTCTGGAGCACAAGTTCCATCCCCGGATGGCCTGGGAGCAACCCACATGGCGCACCAGACCTCTCCCGTCTCACCCGTTGCTCCCCTCAGCAGTGTATTTCAGTAAATCCACCTGTTCTGTTCCCCACTCTCTCTCTGGTGAATCCTCTCACCTCCTCATCTCTGGTCTGTACCCCAGCTCTTGTATGCATAAATAAATTTTTAAAAAAAGTATGAGAGAGAGAAGGGAGGTGATGGGAGAGGGCATAGATGTGTCTGCTGTAATCTAGGGAAAAATATAATTGGTTGGGGAAAAACAATCAAAATAGACTCTGAGAGCTAAAGGTAGGCTTATCTAAAGAGATTCTATTTTTAAACTAAGTTTCCACTACCACCTGGCCATCTAAGAACACATAAAGACATCACTCTCTGTTTAAAAAGGATACTATAGATAATAAATCTCTTAACACAAAAATATCTATGTAGAAAATCAAATGACGAACTTCAGTGGCAAACACAGAGCATGATAGAAATAACAGTTACAACAGCAACCACAATAAAAACATACAGAATTAACTACGATCCAAGCACTAAACACATTGTATACAGTAACCCACGAACTCCATAAACCTCATGACAATCTCCTGAGGACGACACCATTTTATCCTCATTTTGAATACAGGGAGTTAGGGCTCAGAGAAGTAAAGTAACTTGCCAGTGTTTAAACAGGTGATTTAGCAACAGCACCAGAATCTGAATGAGACTATCTGCTATGGAGTATAAAACATTTGGATTTGGATCAATAGATTACAGCTGTCTTGTCGGAAATATAATGGTATTTATAAGGGACTTTATTTTCACTTAGAGATCATAATTTTTATTGGAATGAAATTAAAATATCTAAGTGAGTGAGCAAACTATGTCAATGCCCAAAGCAATTTGTTTTATGAGTTTGTCATTTTGTCTTAAATGAAAAAGTAAAGGAGACCAAACTAAAAATATGAGTGCCTTACAAATGATTCATTTGGGAGCAAACTTAAATTCATTAAACCACCACCAGCTGGTAAAAAAATTACTATATATAAGTTATTCTTTTGAAATTTAATCTTTGCTCACAGAGGTGAGGGTCAGAGGACCCCTGGCCATTAACAAACTGGCTGGAAAAACAGGAAAGGCTACTGCCAAAGTATATCATTATTTATGACTTTTAAATGATTTAAGACTAGCCTGGATAATGGAATAAAAATCCAGTAAAGACAACAGCATAAATGATTACTATTGACAATATCACCTATTACTTACTGGGTACCAGGTACTATGCTAAAGATTTTAATTTCATGTTTTGTTATTTTTTCCCTTTATTGAGGTAACATTGGTTTGTAGCACTACATATGATATAGGGAAGATTTTACATTTCTCCAAGTATGTATTCTGTACACCAATGCAGGTGTAGGGCAGGTGCGTAGGGATGTGAAGCAACTTGCCTGAGGTCACACAGATAGTAAGTAGGAAGGCTACATCTGGTAGTTTGGCTCCCCTAACATTCTGTCTAACTTAGACAGAATGGTAAGTATGGAACATTATAAAGATCCTCACCACTACTATACACGACTCAACTTATAGTAGGCCCACTATAACATGAAAGTCACTAAAGAAAATATTTTGATATCACTAAAGATTGCTTAATTATGTGGGTTAGTAGTGGTAGATTTTTTTAAAGGAACTATCTGAACATTAAACATCTTGAAATTGGCATGATTTCTCAGCCTAAAGAAGTATTACCATTGCCACAGAGGTGTAGCGATCATTTCTATGAAAGTAGATAAATAAAAGGACAGTGGGAGGGAGGGACAGAAAGGAGCCCCATGTTGGAGTCTCAACTCACATGACAGAGATTATGTGCCAAAATAACTTTTTTAAAAGCAGGTGGCTATGCTTGACCTAGTATTTGCTTATTGATCCAAATTCAAGGTCTTGTTTTCCTTTACTTTTCAAGTCAAAGAAATTTTCTAACCATCCATGCACATTTGTTTATATTTCACGTTAACAGAAATTTCAAGTTTAAGTAATGAGGCTGGCAGTTAGAAATGTTCTTAATTTCACTTCTGTGGACCTTCTTAAGTTAAATGTCCATGATATAGGTTGACTGGAAAATATTTCTAATAGCTTAAACAGGAATAGTCATTTTGAAAAAATTTTAGACTTACAAAACAACAGAATTCCCATATACCCTTCGCTCAGTTTCCCCTCACACTGATGTCTTACATAACCATAGTACAGTGATCAAACAGATTACATTACTGGTGCATTACTAACTAAGCTACAGCTCTTAACTGAATGTCACCTTTCACAGTTTAAAGTTACGTAATTTTTTTTAATAGCAGTCTGTTTTCTCAAATAATGTAAGCTGTAATGTCCATTTAGGATATAATGAAGAATCCTAAATTCTTAGTGGTGTCATTACAAAAGGAACTAAGTTGTTCTAATTTCCCAAATTATTCTTCACTCTTTGCTCAAGGCAATCAGAGGAAACAGCATGACTTAATTTGACTCCTGGGGAGTAGCTGTCACTGCCAGTAATCACTTAAAGGCTAGAGAGCAAACACCAGGCACAATACTATGGAGGGGCTGGGAGTCCAAGCCTCGGCCAGAGTCTTCAAGTACAGCATGCGGAGAAGGTTGTGTTTTTCACTTCAAAAGATCCACCCAAATGTGCACTACTGTCCTATGAATAGCCAACTGAAAGTGTTTTGGCTTCAGTGCAGAAAAATTTAAAATTTGGGACTTTAGCTGCTCCAAAGTTGTCATGAGGCTTCCAATCTTGCCAGATTATGACTCTTTACCACATGCTTTCATGGTATGAGGATGGGTCATTCAATTAATAACATCAGATAATAATTAATAACATCAGATAATAAGTAATTTAAGATAACAGAAGTCAGTCCTCTGTGTAGATCTCACTGCTGTTAGTCTACCATCAGAATTTTGTGACACACTAGACAATGGACAACTAATTTCATGTAAAAAGCCTATAAGTAGTACTGTGAAGCATTTGTATATACTTCACAATGTACATTAAGAAGCAATTAGAGCGATAGCTGTTGCTAGTTTTTATTATTCATTAAATGAACCATATCTTAGTAAAATACATCTTTGAAAAAGAGATTCCCAAAGCAAAGTTTTAAAATAAGAAGAATACTAAATTGGGAACCATGAGTAAGTTTCCATCACTCTCATGCTGTGGCTCTGTCAATATAACTAAGTGGCTGCAACTGATATTTATG